CTACAATAGCAAGAGCAGCCCCAATAAAAATATTCTGGACGATAAAAGCAAAAAGATAAAGCAATTAACACAGAAAATAATTTGTGTCTGTTATTTACCAATGCAATCAATAACCAGGTGCAGGCAAAAATAAATTCAAAATAAGTTTCCTTAATACAAAATACACTGTAAAAGATAAAAACAAGCAATAACTAGACAGAAATTGCTACCTTTATTACGAAACGTCTGCGAAACAGTTTAAGATTGTTTTTTAATAAGCCATACAAATAATTTGAAGTCTTGTTTCATGTATTTTCAGACAAAAAACTTAACCTAGTTACAAAAAATCATTATACTTTTTCTTTTTTAACTGAAAATGACATTGAGAAAGTACCAAAGAAACCAAAAAGTGTTATTTAAAGACAAAATCTTTAAAAATTGAATTCCCTAAAGGTTTCGTACTCCTAAGCACTTTTCACTTTTTTCAGTAACCACGTATAAAAATAAACAAAGAAGAGTTTTTTCAGCTACAACTCAGTCGGCCAGCTTTTAGCTTAAAGGATTAAAAATATACTGAATACTGTTTCATATTTTTAATTGAGCCAAGCTTTAATGATGACACAAAATTATACAAGGAAATCGAACGGAAATTTATTTCCCTAAAAACCGGACAGGTGTAAATCTTCTCCCGAGACGAAAACATGTAAACTTATAGATTGCACGATCCACCTTTTCCTCATCAGCGGGGTTAAATATAAAAACAGATAGAAATTTGAGAGCTAAAGACAAATTTTTAGAACCAAACCAAGAAAAATCTATTGTCCATCGATCTTGCGAGGTTTAACGGCCGTGAAAAACCGAAGCAGAGGCGGGAAACTGATCTGTTGTCAGTGTCAAACTTTGTCAAGCGTGTGACGCTCGTCAATGTCGATGTCCGACCCAGAAATGGTGGATATATTTATCACTTTCCGCGAAATTATCGATAGAATTACACCATTGATACTGAAAGATTAAGCCTCTTTAACCGCTTGCATGTTTAGATGACCCCTATCCACAATCGAGGAGAAATACTTCGAAATATACTTCTCTTCCACTCGTGATCTACAAACATTCCACCAAGCTTCGAAGAAAGATCGATCCTATTTCGAGAAATCCCGCTATCCAACACAATTTTTAAACCGAGTAATAAGAAACAAAGGTAACAAAATCATGCCACATCTCTAAACAGTGAACGTATAAATCAAAAATTAGAGCTCAAGAGCAAAATAACGTCTGATTTCATTTGGGAGAAAGAATTGACTAGAACCAGTAGCTCATAGCAGAATCGACATTGAGTTCTTTGATCGCCGCTCGTTTGAAATCTGACAGAGCATTGAACGAGAAAAAATCTACAATAGCAAGAGCAGCCCCAATAAAAATATTCTGGACGATAAAAGCAAAAAGATAAAGCAATTAACACAGAAAATAATTTGTGTCTGTTATTTACCAATGCAATCAATAACCAGGTGCAGGCAAAAATGAATTCAAAATTAGTTTCCTTAATACAAAATACACTGTAAAAGATAAAAACTAGAAATAACTAGACAGAAATTGCTACCTTTATTACGAAACGTCTGCGAAATAGTTTAAGGTTGTTTTTTAATAAGCCTTACAAATAATTTGCAGTCTTGTTTCATGTATTTTCAGACAAAAAACTTAACCTAGTTACAAAAAATTATACTTTTTCTTTTTTAATTGAAAGTGACATTGAGAAAGTACCAAAGAAACAAAAAAGTGTTATTTAAAGAGAAAATGTTTAAAAATTGAATTCCCCAAAGGTTTTGTACTCCTAAGCACTTTTCACTTTTTTCAGTAACCACGTATAAAAATAAACAAAGAAGAGTTTTTCAGCTAAAACTCAGTCGGCCAGCTTTTAGCTTAAAGGATTAAAAAAATACTGAATACTGTTTCATATTTTTAATCGAGCCAAGCTTTAATGATGACACAAAATTATACAAGGAAATCGAACGGAAATTTATTTCCCTTAAAACCGAACAGGTGTAAATCTTCTCCCGAGACGAAAACATGTAAACTTATAGATTGCACGATCCACCTTTTCCTCATCAGCAGGGTTAAATATAAAAACAGATAGAAATTTGAGAGCTAAAAACAAATTTTTAGGACCAAACCAAGAAAAATCTATTCTCCATCGATCTTGCGAGGTTTAGCGGCCGTGAATAACCGAAGCAGAGGCGGGAAACTGATCTGTTGTCAGTGTCAAACTTTGCCAAGCGTGTGACGCTCGTCAATGTCGATGTCCGACCCAGAAATGGTGGATATATTTATCACTTTCCGCGAAATTAACAATAGAATTACACTATTGATACTGAAAGATTAAGCCTCTTTTACCGCTTGCATGTTTAAATGACCGCTATCCACAATCGAGGAGAAATACTTCGAAAGATACTTCTCTTCTACTCGTGATAAACATTCCACCAAGCTTCGAAGAAATTTACTGTGTCAACTGATCGATCCTATTTCGAGAAATCCCGCTATCCAACACAATTTGTAAACCGTGTAATAAGAAACAAAGGTAAAAAAATCATGCTAGATCTCTCAACAGTTAACGTATAAATCAAAAATTTAGTGCTCAAGATCAAAATAACGTCTGATTTCATTTGGGAGAAAGAATTGACTAGAACCAGTAGCTCATAGCAGAATCGACATTGAGTTCTTTGATCGCCGCTCGTTTGAAATCTGACAGAGCATTGAACGAGAAAAAAACAGTTTTTGATGACTCACAATGCACATAAAATGGCGGAAATAAGTTCTGATGGCCATTATCCGATCAGAGGACACGGTAAAGTATATATAAAACTTTAAGCAAACCTTTGAGGAGAGCTCCGTGGAACCCGAATTTTCTGCAACGACCATCTTCCCAAACCGAACATTGGTGGCGTTCCCTCACCAATTTCGATGAATATAGTTCAAAGATTTGCAGCACATTTTATACCCTTCTAATGGTTTAAATAACTGTAGTTTAAAAGGCCAGAAGGATATCAAAAATAACTTCAAGGAACGCGGTAGTTGAAAATAAATACGGCACAGTATTTGATCCGTGTCTTTCAAAAGAGACAGCATACATTCGCATAAATTAGGGTAAATTTGCAACTTGCAAAGATAGTATCTTCTTGCCAGGCTCCCAAGCTTAAAAAAGATAAAGATTCTTTTTTGTTGATGTAAAATGAAAATGTCTTAGCCTAAAAACTTTTTCTAAGGAACGCTGATTCTAAAAAGGATAAAAGAAAATTCTTTAAATACAGTGGCGAAAACCGAAAGCAAAAATAACTCACAATGGAGCGGAGAGAGAATTCTGACTTTTTTAATCCTTTATTTTCATTTGAGTGGTAAAGAAAGCTAGTTGAAGCGTTTTTAAATACTTTCTTAGACTGAGTAGCGGTAGAAACTGAAGAAAATAATAATTTATTAAGAAGCACAATTTTATTCTTCTCTTCCCACTCCTCCCTTGGTATAATTTTCCTGCTTCCTTTCAGAGAGGCATTACCCAGAGTACATAGCAAGTTTACGCCGCCATGTTGAAGCTAGCGGGGGAGGATCAACTTTCGTTTGGAAAATGCCGTAGATAAAGCACATTTCTGTGAATTTACATAACTTTTGCCCTATATGTGGATATAAAGAGGGCTAACATCAAAAATGTTTGAGAAGAACCTCACGGATCTTGTCCGTGGCATCAGAAACAACAAAAGCAACGAGGTACTATAAAGTCTCGGGTTCCACTCACATGAGCATATTGCAATTACCGGACGACGTGGCATAATCTATTTTTTATCGGTTTATTTATATGTCTATTATGCTGTTTTATGTATTCATCTCGCAATTTCAATAGTTTGTACATTTAAAGGGTATATTGTATTGATTTAGCAGTAACCATCATAGGAACAGAGAAGAAATGTACACGAAAATCTGACTGTCTTCTATCCGATCTTATACAGTTTAAGCTGCGTCTATTTAAGACAAAACGAGATTTATTTTATTAGCCATGTGATTCTTTACATGGAAATTTAAATTTATGTTAAGCACTTGCATCAAGTTAATTTGTACCTATATAATGAGTGGTTGTGATTTGATACCGTTTAAGCTAAACAGGAAGTTTCGTTTCGTGGCAGGCTAAATATATTGCATCCTGTTTGGATGAAATCAAACAAGAGCTGAGGCAAGAAAATGCTGCTGTGAAAGCCAATGCGGTGGCCAAGCTCACTTATGTAAGTAGAAGCATCAAAGAAGCTAGAAATTTAAAGGCCTTTTACCGTATATATGCATAGTGGAAGTTAAACATGGTCCTGGAACTTGAAAGAAGGTGGAGGTTTACATGTAGTTCATAATGCTTGGTCATTAACAGGAAGTTAAAATGGTTAAATTTTTTTTACTGTTGTTATCTTTAATCTGTTAACTTAACCTTTAACCCATGCTGCCAGCTTGTTGTTCCTCTTGTGTGAAGTTTATCTTCAGAAATCTTACTTTGTGCATGGTGCTAGAGAAATCCAGGCTACCTTCACACAGCACCAGACAAATTTTTGACCCGCGAAAAGAATTTGACCAGACACCTCATTCATAAGAACCATTCAATATTTTCAGTCTTATCTGCGCACACACAGAACTGATGATCCAGGCTGAATTTTAAATTTTGTCAGAGGTTTTACCATCTTACCATCCACAGAGCACTACTTACTGGTAAACAAATCCAAAATGGCATATACCAGCAGAGTTACGATACATCCATGCAACCACATCTTTGTAGTACAAAAATTTAGATGGTTAGAGCGTTCACACCATGTGGTCAAATTTACCTTACAAAACTTTAGACGTTCATGCTGTTCGTATTGTGCCAATAAAATTGTGGACCAAACTGGCTTAAGATTTTACCTTGAGTCTACCATTCAAATTTTTGAAGGGCTAGGCGTTAAATTTTCAGATGGTTAGCTTGGTTCCATGTGAACAAAGCACCCAAACAAACAAATTTTTAACTGGTCAAAAATTTGTCCGATACCCTGTGAATGTAGCCTAAATCATTAAAGAAGATATCAATAGACCTTACATTTTATTCCCCATAACATAAAAATATATATTTTTTAAATTTGTCTGAACTTGTTCTCAAGTTCTTCACTACAAGGCTAGACATGCAAAATGTTTTGCTTTGATACAAAATGTTGGTCATATGATAAAGGTTTATAGAGTGTTTTTACATGTCATCACATCCACCATATTGGTGTCCCAAAATAATAAAACACAAACCTTTTTGGTGTTCCAAACCAATCCTCTAGGAGTTGGACTTATTCTTACATAACTTTCTTTTGTTCCAATAAAAGTTAGTCTCTTTTTTTTTTGACTGAAAATGCTTTATTGTCCGGGTAAGGTAATTGTACCACTAATTATAAACTAATATAATAATTAAATTTTTACTGACATTAGTAAATCAGTGGTGAAAGTGATAATCACATTATATTTTGTGGCCAAAGTTTTANACACTTGAACAACATGCCCATTCAGGATCTTCCAAAGATTGCATTGGGTGCACAAAACCGGCAAATGAATATAATAATAATACCAAATATTACAGTCACAAAGTATCTTAAAATTAATGAATGTCTTAATTTGAGGATATTGGCAGCTTCTTTTCTCTCACGATGGATAGTCACAGCAATGTACAAGTGATAAGTGATGACTTTGTTTACAGCATGATTTGGTCATAGGGGGGATTTAGTCACCTCCTTTTGGTGACTTCCAAAACCATTGTTGGCGTAAGCCTTTTAATGAATGTGCACTGCTAGTGGACATTTCTTGCTGTGATTATTTTAAAAAACTCTTTAACTGTTCTGTTATTGACCATGCATAAAATCAATTGCTGATTTGAGAGTCATATGGCTCAATCTCTCTGTTAATACCAAATCTACATGTAGTAAGTGATAGCCAACGAAAAAATCACGTCATGTGACCTCAGGAAAGGCAATGATGGTGTTCAGAAGAAAATCAAAGGGTGCCTATGGCTAACTAACTCTTGGATTAATTATTTTAGAAATGAAAGCAGATAATGAACTTGCAATTAGTCTACCGGTATATTTTAAGTCTGTCAAAAAAATATGCTTTAAGAAAGAAACAAAACAATGCAAAAAGACCAAAAAAAAGAAGAAAAGTTTCTTCCAGCTGGAGTTGAACCCCAGACCTTTGACTTGTAAAGTCAATGCATAATCTATTGCGCCATGACAACTAATGTTAAATAAAGTTGTTTAATTAATTATTTTTAACATTTTTGCCCTTTGAAATTCTGCCAGTGGACACTGTTTGAATCTGGCAGAGCTTTACTTATGAAGAATTGAAAGATATATTCAAGGAAAACAAGCATGGTTTTCACTGTAAAAGGCATACTTTAACTCATTTCGTCGCATTTGAAGAACATATGGCCAACAAAGCGATATTAAGTGTCTTGTAAAATCGTCGCGCAGTCTCTTGCTGAAAGCGTTGTACAGCTTGCAATTCTCTGCATTTATGTACAAGAGGAGAATCAATTACGATTCAGCAACAGTAAACATTTCCGTTTTTATTCAACTGAGGAAACATTTCATTTTAGAATGATGTTTCCCTAAAAACCATGAGCTTGGGAGTCTTGTCTTGTTGTGAGAAAAATTAAAAAAATGTGAGACTCATGGCAGAATCGAGAGAATCGTGAGTTAGGACCAGCTTGGGAAGTCGAAGAGCAATTGCTGATCCCTTCATCATGTTTATCGCCTGGACCAGTCAAAAAGCTTCAAAAGTTCATAAACTTCTGTCTCAAAGTTGGCTATAGTGCTAATTTGAAATATTCAAAGTCCACATGGACAACTTATCATCCTGTGAAAGGTACAAAATCATAACATCAAAAGCTCTGGGCACAATGCACGCTCAGCACTTCTTGATTGCGGAACAGGAACAATGAATCTACGACAGATGTCGTTTTGATATTGGACGCTTTTGTACGGAGCCGACTAATTACGAACAGTGTCTACACCCGAGTGACATATTTGCATATTGCAGTGCCCACAATGACTCGTTCCTTACGCTACATGAATCCACGAGTTAAAAAGTGATACTCCTACCAAAGGCAGGCGTGTCACTGATGTTCTTACCACACTTTGGTGTCTCCTGTGATCCATTACTTAACAGTTATACCACAACATGATATCTGTTACAGAGAAATATTCTTCGACACTAACAGTTTTTGGCAAGTTAAGAAGAGCTTTCAAAACCCATTCAGATCCTGTTGTCAGTGACATTTGCTGTTATTCACAGCCTTGTTTTGATGAGGCTACAAAATTGTTCCGTAAATTGGGGGGAAGGTGGTAGTACTGATCATGGTTCATTGCCAGTTGCTAAGTATACAATATTCATTACCTCACAGATCTTGTGTGAAAGCTGGTGGTTTACTTGGCCAATTTTCTGGCCTGGCCATAAACATTCATACATGTACTTGGGGACTGACAAAATTTCTTTTTCAGCTTCAAATGCTGGGTTATGACATCAGCTGGGCTGCATTTAACATCATTGAGGTGATGAGCTCATCAAAGTTTACCTTCAAGGTGAGCTTACAATGTTCAGTGTTCTCCCAGCTTACTACAGTATAGAGTTCCAAAAGTAATGATCCTCATTACTTTCGCATTTATTATTCGGAGTGTCGCTACTTTTGGCATTTGCTAACACCTGTGAAATTTTATCACTACTTTTAGAGGGTCACTACTTTTGCTGCGTCATTACTAGTCTTTGGGAACTTTACGGTATACATTGAGATATACTTTTAAACCAAAAACTTTACAAATGTATCTCCTTGGTGTAATTAAAAGAGCTGATCATATTAATTTTTTCTTGATCTACTATTCTCTTTTACTATCTGAGTAAAATTACAGGGATTTGCTGTAGAAGCACCTAGTGGTGGCTGGTGCATTACTTTTGCTCTTGGGCGACTAGGGAATCTGATGTTTTTTTTTATAAGAAGCAAGCTGGCCATGGGTATCCTGGATTCCCCAATTTAAGAGCACTGAGTTCTCTTCCACTTTTCTTAATTAGAGCACAGCCTTGAATTGTTTCAATCTTTAACACCTGTAGTTTTAAGCATTATAGTTAATGAAAATAGGCAAGATCATTGAAAAATAACACAACCTACCTACTTTACATGTAATTTTGATAAAAAAATTTTAAGCAAAGGTGGGCATTAAATTTAGGAGAGGATCTAATTTTGAAGGCCAGGGAGGAAATGAAGTATTCTGAATGACCAACTTGTTGAGTCTCATTATACATCTCATACATGTATTTTCATTCTCTTTCTTGAGTAAAATAAGTCTCCTTTTCTTGTTTTGCTTACTTTTTCTGTTTTTCTGTTCATCAGAGAATTGGTTACCTGGCAGCATCCCAGTCATTTCATGAAGAGCTGGACATTCTTATGCTTACGACTAACATGATCAGAAAGGTGAGCAGATAATTCTTAAGTTTTATGCTTTTGTTTTGTGTGAATAAAACTAGGAGTTGTCATGTCCCAGCTTTGTTCCTAGTCAGCGATGGTGAGTTTGGATGTGATGCACCAGCAAAGCCTTTCAGGATGCCTGGTATAAAAAGGAAAAATCAAGTAGATCTTCTTCATTTACCATTATGCAAGGAAATAAAACAGTCACCACATTTTAATGTTTGGAAGGGATGTATTATAATCATACATCTGAAAATATTCCATGATCTTCACAAAAAAGCAGATTTATGATATGAAGCAATTATTAGTGCATTTTCCTCCTGCTCCCCTCCCCCCTATTATTTTCCATTGATATATCAGTATGACTGGGGCCTGGTTCTATTGATGTGGGGCTCATAGCTGGAAGGCGTGGTTTACCAGCCATGGGGGCGTAACTCAGTTTAAGGGCTGACTTTGCCAAAAGTGGAAGCTCTCGGATATTTTAGGCACCCACCTGCACTTAGGGACGCAGTTGTCAAAGCTTGGTTAAACTTAATAAACATGTAGCTGTCAGTAGCATTCTGACCATGAGTATGTTTGTCTGTTATACTTTATTATTTGTAACTCTTTATGCAGGACCTTTGCAGCATGAACGTGTATGATGCTGGCGTGTCACTTGCTGGATTTTCGTGTTTTGTGACAACAGACTTAGCTAGAGATTTGGCTAATGATGTCATGTGCTTGGTGAGTTTCCTTGGATAGTGTAACATAAAGGATAGGATAGCCAGTTGACTTTCCAAAGTGTAGCAAATGAGTTGTCACAGCTGTGTTTTAGTAGCAGCTGGTGGCACCTGGTTACTTCTGTACTGTGCTTTTCAAAAACATGCGAACTCTCTAACTGCAATCAATCATCTCAATGGACCTCTTAGAAAACAGAAGTTTACCTCGACAAGTTCAAAGGTTCTTGGTTTGTGATTTGTGATCTGTTTTGCTAGTTTCTTTGTTTTAAGGTTCGTTGCTTGTGATTGTAATAATTATTATGATTGAAGGCAGTGAAAAACACAATCTTGAAGTTGGCTTAAACTTCAGAGTTTGTGTGTTATTGGAAAGTGCAGTAAGCCGTTGGTGACTGAAAACCCTAAATTTAAATGCCTTTAAATGTAATTTAACTAAATTAGCAACAAAGAACGAGTAGATGAGTGGTTGATGCCTTTGCCTTTTTTTGCATGGGTCTTTCAGTCTTGTAATGCCCACCAGCCTTGTGCTGCTGGTGTTTGGCTGTCTTTCTTTCCAACCCATTTATGTTGGTTTCCTAAATCTCAATTTCTAGTTTGAATTGCCTATGTTTATGGTAAGTGCCCCTGGTATACTTCTGATTCTCCCATCTTTATTTTCCACTAGCTTGTGTCCACCAAGCCTTACATCAGGAAAAGAGCTGTCTTGCTGATGTACAAAATATTTCTCAAGGTAACATTGTACAGTGTATATTTATTTTCTTTAAATTTCAAACCAGCTTCTCTTGTTGTTGTTGTTGTTGTTGTTATTTTCCATTATCTCAGATCATATCATAAAATTGTTACTGCATTGTTTCCTTAACAAATACCCAGGCCACAGTTGTTCAAAAGTTGGATAGCACTTTCCAACAGATAAAACACTATTTTTTTAAATCAATATATGGTAACTTTCATTGTTGTGGTTTATTCCAGTTTCCAGAAGCACTAAGGCCTGCTTTCCCAAGACTGAAGGAAAAGCTTGAAGATTCAGAGCCTGGTAAAAACCTTTTACACATATATCTTTTGAATGAATTAGAAAAAGAAATGGAGCACATTAAGTCTTAATTCACCAAATATTATACTCATTGCCAAGAGATGAGCTTGGGCATTGGTGCCTACAAGGTTGGTGGAGCCAGGCAGTGCTCTAGCACCAGGAAGCAGGTATCCATGGCAACCTTATGAGCGGCCCCCACGAGGCATCATCATGCTGAAACGCTCAGTGGAATACTTATCGACCAATACTTACCAAGCCCTGACTTACAAAAAGAGAGGAAGGGTTGGGAGGAACAAACACAGCACTGCTAGCAAGCAGCAGGCTACAAACATGTTTAGCAAAGACAATTTGTGTGCGTTTTCAAGTCTTGAGGTACCCCTGTTAAGGGCATGGGGCCGCCCCAAGCATAATTGGGAAAACTGCTGACCAGCATTAATTCAAGGTTAACTTTGCCAAAATTTCATTTTTCCACATATAATGAATCAGATGCCAATTTTCGTGCACATTAACTTTTGTACTAGTCTCCAGGAAAGTCATTTATTTGTCAGTTAGATCCAAATTTCAGATCTTTGTTTTGAAAGCATTTTATTTTTATAGAAAGAACCATAGTAAACTTTGTTTCAAGGACATCTATTCAAATTACCCTACTGATGGGTGAACATCTCTGAAGTAGATTAATTAAGGAACAAAACCATGTTTTGCGATAACTGAGCAATTTCTTGCACCCTGATTGGTTGAGAGCCATGTTGGTAAGAGTACAGACCATGAAAGTGACATGATGGTGGCACAATTTGTTTTTCTCTCTCTCATTCATACAATTTTCCAAGAAACTTCAATGGAAATGAAAGCAAAACTGTAAATGTCATTGTAAAAAACAAATCGACAAAAATTTTCGATGGTCTGTACTTTTATTGAGCATGGAAATAATGTCAAAATGTTCAAAACTTTCTGCTTGAGTTTTGAATTTTTTGATGTAATTTTCATGGTTGACAAGAGCACAGACCATGGAAAATTGTCAAGGTGATTTGTTGATGAGCCAGTGCTGGTTATCTTTACTTCAAAGTCATTGATTATTTTGTGTCATCTTACCACAGGTGTCCAGTCGGCAGCAGTGAATGTGATTTGCGAGTTAGCTCGTAAAAATCCAAAGAACTACTTATCACTGGCACCATTGTTTTTCAAACTTATGACAAATTCCACAAACAACTGGATGTTAATCAAAATCATCAAACTGGTTAGTATTAAAGTTATTACAGTGGAACCTTGATGAAACAAAGGACCAAGGGACTGACAAGTACTTTCAATTGAATGAGGTTTTGTTTCATCAAGGTTCTTTTCCTTATATTTTTACTACCACTGGGGCGAAGAATATCATTCCTTATACAGAGGACTTCGTTATATAGAGGTTCGTTATATTAACGTTCCACTATACGTATAGACTTAATTTCCACCGCTCTTTTGGTCCTCCCTGAGAAGAGACATCTGTCTGGGGGAGGAGCACGTACTCATTTCCTGAACAGCAGCTTGTAAACCTGGAGGACTCCTCATATGTGGGGTGGGTGTGATCTATGTCACTACAGGGGCTGAAGAAGTTCCTGGAAAAGAAAACACCTCTTGATGACTCAAAAAGTATCTTACATTGTAGATACTTATGCATGTAAAACGTTCAAGAGATCATTAGTGATTTAGGGCTTTTTTCGTTAGACTTCTATTAATGATTCTGTTTTAATTCTCTTGCAGTTTGGAGCACTTTGTCCTCTTGAACCTAGACTGGCTTTCTTTAACGACCTCGGTAATTGTTTAGATTAAGTATCCATTTTTGTTACACAAACAGAACTAGATTTCTACTATGACAAGTCACCACCTAAATTTACATAAGAAGACTTATTTAGAATATCAATCGAATATTTAAACAGCTATGGATGTTTCTTTCATTTTTAATTTAGACAGTTAAAAATGATCATCATTATCTTCTGAAAACTGTAATATTGAGTCACCTTTGATTATTGTACTATTGCATCAATTTAAGCAAACAGGAGTATGTTATCAGTGACATCTTAGATGTGAAGTTTTATTTCCTTGCAGCACATCAGCCATGTCTTTGTTATATGAATGTATCAACACAGTAGTATCAGGTAAGGAATGGTTTACGAAAATGGTACAGAGTTTACTTGATTTTATGCAGATGTACTAAACATTATGCACTCTCCCACTGCAAATCCATTACACATCAAAAATGCAGTGATTTTGTTGTCAATTTAGCCATGTGATAGGATGGACATTTTTAAGGCAAATTTGCATGTTTTGAAGACTAAAAAATAGGTTTTGTAAGATTGTTGACAAGTTTAAGTTTCAGACACATTGTACATGTTTTACACATATTTTAGAACTGAAAATTACAAAAAGAAAATTTGTGTCATATACACTTTAAGGAATATTTTGCATATTATGCAAATGTTTTCAGTTTTTCAAATATTGTTGTTTTTTGCATTGATGCAAAAAATTTATATTTTTTTAAACATTTGATATTAACAATACTTTATTCTCTTTTTCCTAGGATTACCTCACCATACAGCCTCTATCCAGGTATAATACTCTCTTTTAATGTTAATTTCATTGACTTTATTTTGAAAATTTGCTGAGTTTATCAATTTATAATTAATATATTTCTGTTTTCACCAATTCCTTGACATTCATAATTATTATGATATTATTTTGCTTTTTCTTTAGCTTTGTGTCAGCAAATTGCGGATTTTAATTGAAGACCCAGATCAGAACTGTAAGACATTTTAATTGTTAGGGGCTATTATCACGATACCACAATGACTCAAGGCGGGTTTTGACTAGCGACGGTGTCAGATATGGAGTCGTGAGCAGAGTGGTAAGAGCGTTTATGACTTAATGAAAATCAACAATCAGTTTCGTAAGTGTAGTCGTATGCACAATGGAATTGGAGTCAGAAGAATCAGAATGTTTCCATTTTCTTCCTACTCTGGTTACGACTCTATCACTTACACGTACATTCCACATATGCTCTAGTGAAAACTAGATTGTCAAATTCAGAAGCAGAAGCGGAAGGATAAACCAATCCCAAGGCACGTTCCCATGCTTTTTGATTGGTTTAGTTCTTCCACTTCTACTTGCAACTCCAACAACCCACTTTTCTCTTGATTGTAAATGATGGAGTCATCAGCGGAATCAGGAGAATCAAGAGGCTGTTTTTGCTAGATCATAAACTTCTATGCTTCCGATTATGACTCCAGCTCCGACTTTGTCGCTAGTAAAAACCAGCCTTTACATTTCTGAAGTCAGAATGAGTTCCGTTCCTAAATGAAGTTCGTACATGTACTGCATTCACATGCCAAAATTGACCAGCTCAGCCGAAAGTGGTTTCTAATCCACACTACACTTAGGCCTACTTTTACTGTACTTATATCTGTGATGTAACATTACCATTAATTGACTGTGAACATTTATTTTCCTTTGTAGTAAAGTATCTTGGTCTGCTTGCTATGTCAAAAATCCTGGCTGTGAACCCCAAAGTTGTACAAGGACACAAGTAAGTGACTTTTAAAAATAGCTGTTTCCGCAAGCAAGCAGTATAAAGCAAACACTGTCTTCTGACTTGCTAACCAAGATGGGCCAGGCATGTTCACTACATTCAGGATCACCCGCTTTGCTCCTGCAAGAAAACATTTTTTTAAGCTATATTGTTTGGTGTTGTGTTTTATAGACTAAAACAAAGTCCGTAGAAAGTGAATAAGGTATTTTAAAAAGGGAAAATAGAACTGGTAGTAGCATATTATTCTTTTTATAAGAACAGCTCACAGCTAAATGTAGTTTTAATGTTTCTTGGTGTCTATCTGGTTTTCCAAGCTAGCAAATTAAAATTAGGCAAATAAATGTAACAAGAATTCTAGCAAATGCCATACATACATACTTCATACGTCACCTCTATTTATCCTCAGATTTACAGTGTAGCTCTTAAAGCTAATGTCTCCAAGAAAGAGGAAAATAAATATTTAATTTAAGTACTCATTATCCTAAAAATAAAATAAAATAAAATAAATAAAAGGAAATATAGCACTATACGAAAACAATTTGCTTTCTCATTTCAGAGACATAGTGCTGCAGTGTTTGGATGACAAAGATGAATCTATTAGACTCCGAGCTCTGGATCTAATCGTTGGGATGGTAGGAGATTCACACCATTAAATTTACCTTTCAACTCAAAGACAAAGGCAATAATTTATTAGAGTTGAAGAAAATCCCAAATTCATGTCAGTTGCCGCTAGGTGTTTTCTGTAGATTGAGTTTGCCCTCTAATTTGGAACTTAGCCTTAGAGATTCTCCAGTGTGTCCTTTGGAGACAGTGCAAGAAATAAGTTGTGAACTTGTGAGAGAGTGAGATAGGTCTTAACATCGTGAGACTCACAACAAAGTCGTGATGCTTGGCAAGTCTGGAAATGTAGAGTATTGGCACTGTTCTAAACAACCTCTTTTCCTGTAGGTTTCTAAGAAGAATATAATGGACATTACCAAGAAGCTGATGGTGCAAATTGACAAGGCCGACAGTCAGAGTAAGAATTATTAAAATTATTATTAATCCTCATGGTATCATGTTTACCCATGTTTACTAACAGAGTAGTTGAAATGTTGTTTCTTGTTATTGCTATCATTATCATGACTATAAAAGAAACTTTGTATAAGATTTATTTTTCGAATTATTAATTTTACTATGTGCTGTTGTTTGTTCCAGCATACTGTGATGAGCTCCTTTCCAAGATTGTACAGATTTGTAGTTTGAATGACTATCACTATGTCACAAACTTTGAATGGTAAAAAAAAGCTGTTTTTTTACTTTTTTCATAAAGGGATGGCAGTGATTATGAGTATTGTGAAGGCTCAGTGACAAATTTAAGTAGTCAACTAAATTCATTGTGTTCATGAACAGAGAGGGGGGAAATTTGATTCTCAAACATCAACTAGTCAAACCAGCAAGATATCAAATTAACTCAAAGGCTCTTGATCAATAAAGCATGTCAGAATTTCTACAGTTATTGTAAAAATGATCCTATTGTAAGAAACGCTAATATTGACCGAGAAAGTGAGAAAGAAACAAAGTTCTGTTTATCCTTCTGCCAACCTCTTAATTTTAACCCTATAAGCCCCAGTATCCACATACAAATTCTCCAAACTGATCTCCATACATTTCCTTTAAGAATTAGTTGGGAGAATGTAATAAAACATCAAGGCATTTTCTCTTTCGTGATCATTTTTTATATTCTCACAACCTTATCTCTTGACAATGTATGGACATTGTCAGGAGAAAATTGCTGTTGGTCACTATTGGGATTTAAAGGGTTAATCATGTTCTCTGTTGTGTTGTGTCTACTGTAGGTATATTGATGTGCTGGTGCAGCTGACGAGAGTGGAAGGAACAAGACATGGTAAACTGATAGCCTCACAGATGATGGATGTCACTATCAGAGTCAAGGCTATACGTCCTTATGCTGTTCAATGTTTGGTAAGTCTGTTATCACTAGCACTGGTCCAATACTTAGTATTTGTTTCCTAAAATGCCCTGTCATTTATCTGAACTTATTTTCAAACATTACTTACAAGGACTTCAAGTAAGAAGTGATGAACAATTATTTTTTCTATTCTGTTCATGTCGTTAAATTTAGCAACTCATCTTAACTTGAGAATTGGTCACCAGGGCAGAAAATTTAGGTGCAATTTTATGCCCTAATATATAGGTCCTGTTCTGTACATTAATTTGATTGCAAATGGATTGAAAAATATACTTCATATGCCAGGTTGTTTACTTTAGAAGGGTTGAACTTTGTACTTTTATATCGTGCTTATTTGCGTGAAATTTATAGTAAATTTATGTCAGTACATCTCATTCAATAGTCACACCCGTCAGATTGTTGTTTTGTATGAGAGAATTACTATTTAATGGTTTATGATTATTTGTGGGAATTGTTTAATAAAAGTTTTTTTTAATCTTCTGGGGCCGAGTTGTTCGAAGGCCGATTAGCGCTTAACCCGGGGTTAAAATTAACCCGGGTTTCTTTTTCTTGTGTTCCAAATTATTTTTTCGGATAATTTTCTGTGCTATTTTTAGAGCTTCCAATCATCAACTTGTAGACAAAAAGCATTAAAGCTGAAATGTTTTTTAAGCTTTCAAATCTGAATTCGAATCTCGCACTAACCCTGGGTTATCTTAACCCAGCTTTGAACAACTCAGCCCTGCCTTTTATCATTAATTAGTTATGTGTTAACATTGCCTAGTGAACTCAAAAATTCCATGTGAAAAGAAATGATTTTGGTACATTGTTTCAGTCTTTGTTGCTGACCAGCAATGAGCTGATGTCTGGACAAATGGAAAAGAACAGAGTTTGTGAAGTACTTTTTGCTGCAGCATGGATCTCAGGAGAATTTTCAGAGTTAGTGAAACTGTGGCTTGAATAATGTTACAATTCTAGCTTCATCTGAAAAAAGTAATTCAAAAAGCCTCTAAGGGTAAAGCGTCTCAACTCATTTTGTCGCCAATTGTAGCTTTTTGAAACACTTTTTTTAGTCCAGAACAAAGTTGTATAAGCACAGAGCATATAAGTGCAGTTTACAGAAGCCGTCCCGCCCATAGTCAAGGTGGCTTCTCTTCAAGTCAAATTGCTTTTACCACTTCTTTTGCTAGGTTTAGTACTTGGCATTCAACCTGCATATTCTGCTGTGATTAACAATGTGTATTAAGCTTCTTTCACAGTGGTAATAATTTAACATGATTATGTTGTTGTTTACCAGGCATCTACCAGATATCAATGTCACATTAGAGGCTATGCTGCAGCCTAAAGCCACCTCCCTTCCAGGGCACATCCAAGCAGTGTATGTCCAGAACATTGCCAAGTTATATGCTAAGCTCCTAGCAAATCAGGAGGAGGTAAGTTCATACAATCGAACCTCCATGTGTGACCAACTCTAGTAAGCAACCAGTTCCCAAGAGCGAAACACCAAAATTCTCCCAGTCAAAAGCCCCTCTCAAAAATAATGACCTCCTGAAAGCGACCAAAGCCTCTTTTTCCAGCTGAGAGTGTGATTCCTACATGGAAATATAGACATTGTAACTTAGAAATTGAGTGCAATAAATTATCTACCATAAAGTAGAGGTATCTGGGCTTCTTCTCAGTAGAGAACCCATGTGGTCCAATTCCCATAAGCGACCACCTTCCGTAAGTAACTACTCAGCATTTTGGGTAGTAATTTTTGGGAAATCCAACTGTAGTTTTCATAATTTGTTCTCAAACCCTTTTTTGTGTATTTAATAAATCCCTATGATGATGTGAGGATAACATTCTCTTTCTATTCAAGCTTTGAAAAGATCATTTGAGACAGGATTGCTTTCCTTTTTAATGGTGAAATAATATTTGTGCTTGCATGCAAATGCAAGTTATGAAGGTAGTGCATTCATCGAAATTCTTAATAAATTGAGTTTGCTGACTATGCCACATGTGATGGATGACAGATTTGCTACTTGATCCTCTGTTGGAAATGACGAGAATAGCAATCAGGAAGACATCAATATCTTTGTACATGCTTTATTTTTGTTTATTGAGACTCTCAATTTTTTAGACTACTTGCTACTGCCTCACTGATCATCAAGACTTGTTAATACTGTAGTTATAGTCAAAACACAACATGAGGCAAAATAACCTATGCTCTACCTTCTGTTTTGTTATGAAGGATGAAGATGGTGACACAAAATCAGTTAGTGAGATGCTTGTAGAGAAGTTACCCATATTTGTACAGAGTGCCGACCTCGAGGTGCAGGAGAGGGTGAGTGACAGCTGTCAAACATATCCATCAACCCATGCTACAAAAAGCGATTGCAATTTTGTTTTTGTTTGCAAATGTCCACCAATGCAAGTTTCAGAGGAAGCCATCAAAATACACACCACGACAGGCAACAGCACGCAAACGTAATGAACTGACCTCAAGAGAATGGCTGTAAAAAGACCAATGAGCCCCTTTGATGCAGTTAGGTTGCCCCTGCATATCACTAATGAGTGAGACAGCTGGCCAGCTGAGTTTATCTTAGCCTAAATCATATTTAGCCACATATACAGTGTAAAATATAACATCAAAGGCAGTGTCCCTGATTAGTTCACCACTTGTGGTCTGCTAGGAGTTTTCTGACAGGTTAATAAAGTTATCGATTGATTGATTGAGTTTATTGATTGATGCATTCGTATTTGTTGCTTTAAAATTAATAATCACTTCTGTCATTGAATTTGTAGGCTAGCTGTATCTTGCAGCTCATTAAATATGTTCTCAAGTTGCAAGGAAAAGGTAATCAGTTACCTAAATTTATAATTATTCCAATGCAGAATAATTTATACCTGACATTTTGGCAACAAAATTATTAATACCATGTTCCAAGGTAGAAAATGCCTAAGATACTGGGATTTCCCAAAGCCCGGCTGTGCCTGGTCAGTAATGACAACTGTTCATTATTGTGTTTATGATTGTTGTTGAGCTCGAAAGGAAGTCTTGCTTTTAAAGAAGAGTAACCTCTGGGTTCATTCATTTCCTTCTCTCCTGAAAACCCCACATTTTTAAATCCTATGTTATCTTTACAGTATGTTAGGGCCTGTTTACATGGAGGTGGGGGACCCCAGGTAGATGAGGTACCCCGCTTTGGTGGATTAAACCGCCTGTCCATATAATCTCTCATTTTAATTTGATTATGTTTACATAATAAGTGGGGTGACCCACCACGGGTTACCTCACCTTCCTGGGGTCCCCCACCTCCTTGTAAATAGGCCCTTAGATGAAGAACCATATTGTGTATGTGCTTTTGAAACAGCTTTTGTTTTAAGAATTTAATAAATTATTCTTTGTAATAATTTTTATTAGTAGTGTTATAATATTAATGGTTAACTGTGTGTTATTTAGGTGTTGATTGCTCTGAGGAGGTGTCATCACTGTTTCGTGGTGAACTAAATCCAGTTGCATCAAAAGCACAGAAGAAAGTGCAGGTTCCAGAAGGGTATGGTTGTTTTACCTTGTACAGCATTTATTTTATTTTTCTTTGTCACGGCATCATCTTCTTGTGTGGATCTCAAAAGTCAGGAGTACTGAGTAGTCCTGAGTTATAAGGCGTGGTCATGCTTTTGAAAAGTAGCCAACTTCCTTGCTTGCTCTCAGCTGCACTCATCATAGTTACGAGCAACCTCCTATTTGTTGAAAGTCTAAAAATGTTGATGTTCAGTGCAGTGTTTCAATACTTCTTTCCACAAATATTGGTCGAAGTTAGTAATTTTGTTTCACCTGGGCGTGATATTTAAACATATGCTCCATTCACACCAACTAAACATGTTTAATTAAACCAGGTTTTAAAATTAATGTAAAACAGACATGGAAAACTGGAACAGATTTTCTCATAGGATTCAAATGAAATTCAACATGTTTTGTAATTTGCACTAAATTTGCAGTCAACTTAGTCAGTAAGCAGATTTTACTAAGGAAACAGTGTTAAACCGTGTTTAACTTAACAGCTCTAAGCTTTGGTGTGAATGAGGCTATAGTCCCAGCGACAAACAAACAGTGTAATAGACCTTGTCACGGTTTTCGACGCCATCTTGACGAGTAGGCAAACGCGTGAGAAATCACAGTGTTTGTATGAGAATCTAATGTCGAATAATTTCCGTAAAACGGCTGTTCTGAAAAAAATATCAGTTGTAAACTAAAGCTATAAAGCAAAGGATTGTCCTAAAAAAATTGGGGGCGTACCTGTGCTTAGATTTGTCCAGAAGCTTGTTTTAGATTTTGCATATATTTGTCTGTAATTTTCCCGGGACTTTCTTACAGACAAATGTACAGAAAATTTTAAAAAGTGGTTCTAGGTCTTCTAGTGCATGTAACGCCCTCAATTTTTTCAGGAGAATCCTTAGGTGTGGAAGCGTTAGTTTACAAATCATATTTTTTTCAGAACAGCCTTTCTACGGAAATTATTCGACATTAGATTCTCATACAAACACTGTAATTTCTCACGCGTTTGCCTACTCGTCAAGATGGCGTCGAAAACCGTGACAAGGTCTATTTTTACCTCCTGTAAGCGGACACCTTTTGTGGTGTTCTTGGGCATCTGCTTTAAGAGGAGTTCAGCTTTAATATATAGATTTAGCCAGGGCTAAAAGCGAAGCTCTCGACAATATTTATAGTTTGCTCAAACAAAATATAAAATCATGTAATGCTAAGCGGCGAAGGCAACGCCGGAGAACGGTGAAAAACAACAAAAGGTCTAATTAGCAAAAAAGCAACTTTGCACGTGCAGCACACTTTTTTTGTACATTTCTTTGCCGTTGTTTTGCACGACTACAACGTGAAACTTCCAGAAACTTCTTAGTTACACGTTTTTTTAGTTCACTTTTTTTTCACTGCCGCTCATTTTTACCTTGCATTGGTGGCCGCTAGCATTTCTCATTTTGTCACCGCCGTTACAAAATTTTAACGTTGTTCTTCCAATAAAAAATGTCTTTGTTTTTTATCTCTCGCTCTAAATCTCTGTCGCCCTTTTTCTCGTTGAGCTTCGCTGGCCTGCCGCCTACTTTCCCTTTTTCTCTGTGTTTCTCTTGCTCTATATTCCAAATTTGTGGACATGACAATTATTCTAAGCTTAATACTTTAGAAAACACGGATACAGAGACAATTTCCGCTTTCCATTTTCCTCTTCATTGACTCTCTAGTTGTTTCTGCTTTATAAGACGCAGGTGGCTATGCGATTTCCCGTCAAAATAACCTCGAGTTGCATTTGGGTTGCCATACCTGTTGATTGAATTATTTTACATTGGTATGCCTGTGGTGCGGACGGACGGTCTCGCGGGCGGTGTACGATCACGTGATTACCAAATTTTCTTGGATGGGTAGTTTACCACATTTTCTTACCCATGGTAATCCGCTGCGCGCTTCGCGCGCGAGAGCTCCGCTATCAATCCACAACATTTCTAATGTTCCTTTGATTATTTTTTAGACTTGATCTAGACAAGTGGATTAATGAACCACCATCAGAAAGCTCAGAGGACGAGCAGGACATAGAAACAATATTTGACCCTCATGGCGAACACAAGTATGGCACTGAAAATGATAACAAATAATATTTTTCTCTTTTGCATATTATTGAAGGGTTGGGTGGAATAAGAATGTAGCTCTTGATGACATGCCAAATTCTCCTTTTATTTCACAAGCAGATAGAGGCAAGGGGCCAATTTGTAAGGAGAATTTAGCAGTTATCAGAGGTCACTTTAAGCTTTATTCCATGCATCCCATTTATTATGGCTAACCCTTTTCTTCTACTCTGGACTTAATGTTACAAAACATAGTTTTTTTGCTTTGGATTTACGACTAGCACAGTTCACATATGGTCTTACAGTACCGACTTTTGAACTTGTCTATCATATGGATATTAAATATCTTTCTCAGCTTGCATTCATTGTAGGAGACCCCACTCTCATAAAGTAGAACTGAGTCTCAAAACTTGTGAGGCTGACATAATTTTGCATTGATTTTAAAATCTCTCTCAAACTCAAGTACGTGTAAAGATTCAAAAATCTGATAACAAGGAAAGGCTGCAGTTGGGACAACGTCACTTTTGAAATTACCTCACTCAAGGGTAAATTAAGAAAGAGCGTTGAATGGGGGTCGAAGCCTTTGTCCCCTCTGAGTTATTATGCATGCTCTTATTTGTCCTTAAGAACTTCAGAAAGGTAGTAACGGGACTTATTAATTTTCAGAGAATTGAAACAGAAGCATGAATCAGAAGATGAGGAAGAAATGAAAAAGGTTGTTATCATTCATGATTCTGTTGTCATTGTGTTTATGCCATTAAACCTTTTTCTTTCTGTTTGCCCAAACACTTCTTGCTTTGGCCATAGATCCTGCACACAAACTCTGTATATTACGGAAAAATCTCTAGACACATTTTTTATGGGATACTGTATTTACTCGAATAAGGGCCGCGGCGCTTGTTGAATTTTTTTCATGCCTAAAATGCGACGCTTAGTTGAAGGCGGCGTATATTTGAGGTAGGAGGCAACAAAGAATTGTTTTAACTGTGGTATTACTATTATTTATTTGGGGCGGCACTTCTAATACTTTTTGTCCGAAGTGAGGCGCTTATTCGAGGGCAACGGTTACTCAAGCCAATACGGTACAGAATAGAGAGCTTTAGATTTGAGACCGAGTACGAGAATTAACTTAAAGTTTTCGCGCCTGTTCTCACAAAAAGACACCCCGTAAAAGCCTCATTTTACTTTTTTTTTCACCTAAAAAGTTAGTTCGGTTATTTATACTGAAGGAGTTTAAGGCCTCTTCCGGTAGCAAAATGATAAAACTTCTCACATTTGATAATTTGTTCCCGCCACTACGACATTCTCGCTAAAACTCCTAGTAGAATGACGACGGCTATCACCTTTTCCCGCCAAAATGACGCTGGTTCACGCATGAGGAATACTCAGTATTAGGTAAATTGCATACTCGTTGTCGTCCTCGTCTTAGAATCTAAAGCTCTCTAATGCGCCTGTACTGATGTAGTTATTGAACGTTTTTTACTTTCCATTTGTCTCTCAGAGACGTGAACAAAGAAAGCAAGATCAGCTCAGTAATCCACATTATCTAAAGGTGACAGCAAAAGAAGACCTCAAGGTAATTTCCTTGAATAGCTTGTCGCCTCTTGCACCTATCATTGTATTGCCACAACAATTTTATAATGGTGTTGGAAGAAAATTTGCTACTTGACTCAAGTTCTCATGGCTTTTTGAAAGAATGTGTTAATGTTGTTCTTAAAATTGAGATGATGAATGTGTCCTATTTCAGGCAAAGAAGAAAGAGATGCTGGTAGATGATATTCCAGTGGCAAACTTGGACTTACCAGTATCCCTCAAGGTGTCAGGAGGTACTTTTGTTACACTGTATTAATGTTAAGCGTGTAAGGGATATCCCTTTCTCTCTTTTATTTCTATCCCTTTCTCCCATTTTCCTTTCCCTTCTTTTCAATTTCCCATTCCTTTCTCTTCCATTTCTCACCCTTTCCTCCTCTAGTTTCTAGCCCCTTCAATTACATTCTCTGCCCCTTTTTTCCTCCAGTTCTCATCCCCTCACTTCCATTTGCCACCTCCACTTCCTTTCCTACTCCTTTTTCTTCCATTTGCTGCCCCCTTCTCAGCCAGTCCCTTTTCCCTGTTCCCTTTGTTGCACGTCTTCTCTACCAGTTTCCATCACTTTTTATTTACCGTAAAATTCCAAAACTAAGCCCCTCCCTGTATAAGCCCCTCCAAATATAAGCCCCCCAAACTAGTTACGCAAAAAACCCTCCGTTAAATCGCCCCTCCAAATAATTGCCCTCAAATACAAAGTAAAACAAAGCAAAAACGGTAAATTTCCTTCCAACTATAAGGCTAGCCCAATCGATTTTGAAACGCAAATTTCCCTCCATAGATAAGCCCCTCAAAAAGGGCTCTTGAATATATATATATATAAGCCCTGGGGCTTATTTTCGGAATTTTTCGGTATCTCTTTGTTCTCATTCCACAATCTTCTTTGGTCAGTCATCTTTTACTCCAATTTGGTTCTCATCCTTTGTTAAAAGCCCCTCGTTCTATTTTACGTTTTACCTTCTCATTGTGACTTAAGACGTTACGCATTATGTTCATTTGATCCCCAGGACTATCTCTTGACAAGAAATATGCCTCAAGAAAAGCAAAGAAGAAAAGAAAGAAAGGTAGAATATTTACTGGCTCTCAAGCATTAGGATTTCCTCTTACAGCTTAACAACCATTAAGTGTGTATTTTCAGTTTACCCAATGTTACTAGTAAGTACACAAGGTCAAGCTCCTTTCATGTTAGTGCCCTGTTCGTCATCCGTGTAATGGGGTTTATTTATGTTTGGCTAACGATGGTTACTTAGTTGATGAGTGTGATTCCTTGACTGTCTATTGCTGGTCTTATCAGGCGGTTGTGTCATTCCCCTGTACTGGAATATTAGTAGCATCCTGCTCGCTAGTGATCACTGCATTACAAGTTACCTCACCCATAGCACCAATTGCTATTGTAGTGAACACTGTGCCACTAACAGTCCCACGCATCAAATCAACACCATCAACTATACAGGCCAACAGTACATGGTTGCGACTTGGTAATCAACAACAAAATGACTGTCTTGAGACAAGCGATAAACAAGCCCTACCATACACATACCACAGTAAATAATATCTTTCTTTACATTCATGATTTTTTTACATCAGGTCGAAAAGGGAGCAGAGCTGATGAAGAAGAACCAGATCGTGGAATTTCATATGAGGTTCTTCCTGCTGGTGCCGGAGAGATGCCAGAGGTTGGAACTTTATGATGTTTTATAAACCCAAATTGACATTAACACTGCCCTGAATTGCCCGCTGGGGGTGGTTTTCTGGGGAGGGGAGGCACTCCCTTATTCGGCCCCAAGGGGTGTGTACCGCTGAACGTGGTATGGGTATAAATAAAAAAATAAATAAATGATAATTTGGAGGTAGCACATCCACAAAGTTGTTCTTCGTCTACCTGATTCCTGGTCGAATTGGAAGTTGGAAATTTTGGTTTTTGAGGAGAGGGAAAAACCGGAGTACCCGGAGAAAAACCTCTCGGAGCAAAGGAGAGAACCAACAACAAACTCAACCCACTGCGCCATCCCTTGCTTCCCATAAATAAGTGGAATTTTGAACTAAAAATCACACTCACTTTAAAGTTTTGTGTTTGTTTTGTTTTGTTTTCCTCTTTCTTTTTGCCAGGGAGCTGCGGAATCTGATCACGATGATAAAGAAAATGAAGATTCATTCGACGCTGCAGCTGATCCTCATAAGCTGTTAAATGTTGACCTTAGCAAGTATGTCTGGCACGGGCTTAGCTAGTTTGATTATACTGTTGATCCCTTGACTTGATTCTTATCACTGACCAAGGTACAGCTCTCAAACTCAACATTGTGAAGTTTCAGTAACAGAGACAAAATTTACCCGGGAAATTTAGAACCATCTCGTCCAGGACAGCAAACAGTACCGTAGGAAAGTACTTCTCAGTCTGAGCTTTTGAAATTTTTAATTTACATAATTCTTCAGATCATACTCAGTCTCATCCAATAATTGCTAGTTATTGCGCGCGACTAGGGTAGCCCACAATCCTATTCACCAGGTTGCTGTTGCGCGCATGACCGGCACTTATGTAGCCAGCATGTACTTGGACTTCAACTAAGAACGAATGGAATGCATAGAGCGCAATGTTTTCTTGCGCGTTTTAACCTTCTCATCACTCGTAATCTTATCACGCGCATTTTGACCTTATATCACGTGAAACTAATGCAAAGCACTGTACTAGAGCAAACGCATTTTGTCGCATCGATCTAGCCCGCACTCCCCGGTTTATTAGTGGTGTTGTACAGATATAAGTTAGAGGGGTAAAAGTAATATAGGATCGTTTATTTACTGTTGATGTGTTGTGACAGACCACTTGAAGCACATGAAGCTCTCCCAGTTCGTCAACATCGCACTGTTACTGAAAAACAACCTACTGATACTATTGAAAATGAAGAGGTTAGTGATATTGTCATGAATACTTATTGAAATTCAAAGTTCATAATACTTAAAAATTTAGTATTACCGCGTGAAAGTAGTGCTGAAGAGGTTTCATTTGAATGGTCACACCATAGGATTTCATCCACAGACTCAAAAGTTAAAATTACATACCATATAAGTAATAGCATGTAAAAGTACTGATGAAGAGGTTTCACTTGAATATTTACAGCATAAACTCAAAAGTTAGAACTCCATACTAAATTCAACAAAAAGTAACATGTGAAAGTACAGCTGAATTTCTTTCACGCATTTCAATGGCCTCACTATAAGGTTTTATTTCATATAATTTTACGCGTATCCCCTGTCAGTTTGTTCATTCTCGAAAGTCATGACTAATTTATGGCGGTTTTTATGTATTTCCAGGAACCCAAATCCAAGAAACATGGCAAAGATAAAAAGCACAGGCATAGAAAAGACAGTGAGGGAAAAAAGGTGAACAAACTTTTTGCTTTCTTATCACAGTCGATCCAAAGTGACAGACCTGCCTCGTACCTAGACTTCTATAGGAAGGTTACAGATTAACGCAAAGGACTATGGGAAGGGTTAGGCAAAAAAAAAAATGAGGCGGCAAGTCCATTTTCCGCTTCTCCCAAGGTGCTCTGTGCGCCTGGAAGATTTGTTCTTCAAGCTTGTCGTCGATTCTCCGAAGTCCTCCACAATGGGCCTGGGTATAGAAGTCCTCATTACATAGGTATTGAGGGCATCTTGGCCAAAACGCCATGTTGTAGTCCTTTTAGAGATTTTCAAATGAGTTGAGAAATATTTCAGTGCATTTCTTTTGTAGAATTGTTGTCGCAATGTTCAGTGCAATTTGTAGCCACAAAAACACAAAGGTTTTGCTTGAAAACACACCGCAACGTAGTGGTGATATATTTTGGGAAACTAGAGCAAATGTGGCTCTTGAATCACATAGAAATCGCTGACAGCAAAGTCGCATTGTCAAAACTTGTAACAATGTATTTGACTGAATTAATAGAATTACGTCCATTTTCACACGGGTACATCAGCACAATGTTTCATTGCCGTAAAGATGACTTAAGCTCAACAATCACAAACCAGAATGTCTTTTACAGCCCTTAGCCTCTTGACTTCCTCTGGCACGGTTACCCTGAACTATCTTCCAGGCTGCGGTTGTTAAAACGGTAGGAAGCGCTATCCAACGGTTAAATCAATATCCATGGATAAGAATTAGGAAAACCAATTGTGTTATCCAGTGAATAGCGATTTATCCAGTGGATAACGTTATCTACCTTTTGAACAACTGGGGCCAGTTACATTGACATGGGAACATTCATTTTCTTAACTCTGTCACTTTCAGGGTAAACACAAGCATAGAAAAGATAAGGATGAAAAAGACAAGAAGACTAAACATAAACACCACCATCATAAGGAAGAAGGTATTTTGTGTTAAGAGAACGTAGTTATGGTAACAGCTAAAATTATACTCTCTCAAAGATGAAAACACGACGACACCGGCCACTAACTTGCGTCCCAACTGCCAGAAAAACCTCTCTGCTACGGTAGTAGTAGTGGTGAACTTTATTAACGTGTCAAGAATCTCTAGCGCATAGCACTAATTGGTGACGCAAATAAAAGATAAAAATCAAATGTTAAAATAGCGTTAAAATAATGTTAAAATAGTAATGCAAATAGTAAAAGTTAGGAAAGTTGGAAATCTAAGACCTATTAACACGTAAAAATGTATGTGCTTAAAATGTCAGCTTAAGCGAAGAAAAATTGACTCACCTTCTTTGTAACGATTTTCCATGTTTCAGCCGACGAAGGAATGGGTAAATAAAGTAAACTTGTCGAGTTTTGAACTCGAAAACTTTTTCAAGTTTGGTGCTTGCGTGATAAGCGCGCGAAAAGCCAAACAACTCGACGCCACAACCATGTTTACATACTCTCATGCAAACACTGCTCTCGGCCAATCAGAGCGCGCGTATTATCTTAGTTATTTTACAAAAACTGATATTCTCACTGCACCTTACTGTGTGTTGTGTACATTTTTGTTCCTAGGTTTCATTTGAATGGTCATACCATACGATTTTATCCACAGGCTCAAAAGTTAGAACTACATTCTAACAAATAGCAGCAGGTGAAAGTATTGCCGAGGATTCATTGAAATGGTCACACCATAGGATTTCATCCACAGACTCAAATGTTAGAGTGGCAAATTATCTCATCACTTTCAGTCTAGGAGTGAAGTGGTTAAGGTTTTGAGCGCTGTGTTTTTTTGCAATTACATCGCAGAGCCTGCTGCTCCTGAAGAAAATCTTATGTTCAACGGTGAAGTTGAACATCCCGAGTCACCAACAGATGAGGTGGAGAAAGGAGATGAAGGAACAACTCCCTCAAAAGCAGCGACAAAATTACAAGATTCTAAACCAGTAATTGAAACACCAAGCGATCCTCAGGTATGTGGCATGATCTGAGTCCTCACATTAATTTTATACTGACAGTTCAACCTTTATAAAGGGGCTAGTAATCAGAGTCTCTAAGTAATTGTAGAAAAGATTTGTAAATTAAACCTCTATTAAACTGCCAACTCTATCAAGCGGCTGCGGCTACCTTATGGCCATTCCCCTGTTGTTGTCACCTGTTTTAAGCGGCCATCAAGTGCTTGATACTCTTAGTTAGGCTTTATTTTAAGAATGTGATGATCAGAAGGAATGTACAATCCGAGATAGAAGGTGACGACCGATTGTGGACCAGTAGTGCTGCTCCCGTCGCGTATTTGTATCAAAATGAAGTGTTGTTTCGGCTAAATATTATGCTAATTTATGAAGAACCTCCATTTTAGCGGCCAACCTCCATTGAGCGGCTACTGGCCGGTACCCCGAGGATGGCCGCTTAATGGAGGGTCAACTGTATTTCAAAAGTGACCATAATCAGACAACGGTGCGCAGTTACAAATGGTGCGAAGTGCAAAACATGCATGATTAAACTGTGAATAGTGGGTAGTTCTTAGCCTGCGTGGCAGGCGCAAAAAGGGGAGGGGGAGGGGGCAGGGAGAAAGGGAAAAACACGTGTTAGTTTCTGATGGCTGATAACGTTAAATCACTGTTGCTCAAACTAATTTCTTATTGCATTTTTCCGAGTTTTTTAGCATCGGCTCGCCGCGTCTGGAAAGCTCAAATTTCAGAAAAGTACTACTAGTATTTTTTGGCCTCAAACAATTTCTTTTAAGTTGCCCTTAGTTTTGAAAACAGATTTTGAAAGAAGAGATAACGCTCTTTAACGTGGTATAAGACTCGTTACTGAAATCGAGGTACCAGTCAACGATTTTGGGCTTTGAAATTTGCCATTTTTTTTCATTGAACGAAAACGTTCAAAATATTGAAAATAATGAAAAATCTCCAAAATATTACACTTTCGCTCAAACTGAGTAAATCACCACTTAGAATGTGTGCAATTAAGTACTCTTCTGAATAAGTTATTTGTTGTCCGCATACAATGGATTTGAATTTTAAAACGATTTATTTGCGACACATGGTCTCGGGCCTGGAAAACCCGGTCCGAGAGCCGCGAAACCAATAATCCCCCCGTACGTGGAAAATAATTATCGGATCGAAGTAAAAATTACATTTATGTTAATAGCTTACCTAGTGCTACGTTGTGAATTTTTTTGAGAATTTTCGATTTTTCACTTTTGTAGACCTCTGGTCGATATTTACTGACATCCGCTCTTAATCTTTGATACTGGGAAAGAAAACGTTTGGCGAATGACACTGCTTTAGAACATCAGAATCTACGTGTGTCACATTGGGCTTTAATCTTTTTTTTTTTTTTTTTGATTTTAGGATGACATGGATTTCTGGCTTTCTCCAACTCCAGAAAAGAAATCTCAGTCGAAGGTACGTTGAGAAGCATTCTTGGCCGTTTTTTCCCTTTAAAATTGATTAAAATTTCTGTACGTTTTAAAACTGTACTACTTGACAAATAATTGACTGGCTGATTGAATGATGAAGTGACTTACCTGCTGACTGACTAATTTACTGATTGATTGATTGATATAATGATAGACTGACTGGTTGTTTGACTGACCACGGACTTGCTGATTGACTAACTGACTGACTAATTAATGAATTGATTGACTGATATACTGACTGTCTGACTAACTAATTGACTGGTTGGCTTATTGACTGACTGGCTTACTCAACGTCGTGTTGGCTAACTAACCAGCTAGCTGCTGGCTGGCTGGCTGACTGACAGGTGGACAAAGACAGAATGATTAGCTGGCTAACAAATGCACTGAATGACCGATTGGTTAGCTCAGTGACTGGGGACTGAATGACACGCTAGATGGCTGACTGCTTTTCCGGTTTAATAGCGGACTGCCTGACTGACTGACTGACTGACTGACTGACTGACTGACTGACCGATTGACTGTTTGATTGACTAATTAACTGACTGACCAACTGGCTGGTTGGGTGGCTAACTAGTTAATATAAGGACTGACTGTTTGAATGACCGACTGATCATCTTTTAGCAGTATGAAGTGATCTGTGGGCTGACAGACATACAAGGATTGAATAACTGACGGAATAATGAATAATCGATTGGTTGATTGATTACCAAGTTGACTGACTAATTCATTTTCTCTTTGAATGAAATAACCAGCTTGTTGAAACACCCACTTCATCTTCACCAGAAAAATCGCCAAAACAAGAAACACATGCTAAACAATCAGAGGTAATTTTATACAAACAATAAATCGTACTTAAGATGGTAAAATGTCAGTTTGCCAATGAATATGAGAGTGATGCACAAACATTTCTTAATTGGTGACGCAAATAAAAGATAAAAATCAAATGTTAAAATAGCGTTAAAATAATGTTAAAATAGTAATGCAAATAGTAAAAGTTAGGAAAGTTGGAAATCTAAGACCTATTAACACGTAAAAATGTATGAATATGATTAGAGGATAAATTTTGCTTAGTACTACCATAGGGTCTCAAATTTAATTATTACAAAGAGTGCAATTTCTACAGCCATCCTCAATCAAGGCAGTCAGGTCTGTTCTCCTAATTTAATTCCTTCTTAAGTTTCGACCAGAGGAAAGGGTCATAGTCTTTAATGAGTGCTTTCCATATTTAACCGGTCATTCAAAAGCGAATGATGTACAAACTGATATCCTCGCTGCACCTTACTTTGTATTGTATACATGTTTGTTCCTATGTTTCATTTTGAATGGTCATACCATACGATTTTATCCACAGGCTCAAATAGCAGCAGGTGAAAGTATTGCCGAGGATTCATTTAAATGGTCACACCATAGGATTTCATCCACAGACTCAAATGTTAGAGTGGCAAATTATCTCATCACTCTCAGTCTAGGGTTGAAATGATTAAGGTTTTGGGCGTTGTGTTTTTTTGTAATTACCCCGCAGAGCCTGCTGCTCCTGAAGAAAATCTTATGTTTAACGGTGAGGTTGAACATCCTGAGTCACCAACAGATGAGGTGGAGAAAGGAGATGAAGGAACAACTCCCTCAAAAGCAGGGGCAAAATTAGAAGATTCTAAACCAGTAATTGAAACACCGAGCGATCCTCAGGTATGTGGCATGATCTGAGTCCTCATATTTTATACTTACAGTTCAATCTTTATTAAGTGGCTAGTAATCAAAGTCTCAAAGTAATTGTAGAAAAGATTTGTAAATTAAACCTCTATTAAACTGCCAACTCTATCAAGCGGCCGCGGCCACCTTACGGCCATTCCCCTATTGTTGTCACCTCTTTTAAGCGGCCATCGAGCTCTTGATACTCTTAGTTTAGCTTTATTTTAAGAATGTGATGATCAGAAGGAAAGTACAATCCGAGAAAGGAGCTGACGACCGATTTTGGACCAGTAATGCTGCTCTCGTCGCGTATTTGTATGAAAATGAAGTGATGTTGATGCTAAAGATTATGCTAATTTATGAAGAACTTCCATTCGAGCGGCCAACTTCCATTGAGCGGCCGCTGGGTGGTGCCCCGAGGGTGTCCGCTTAATGGAGGGTCAACTGTACTTTTTAAAAGCGACCATAATCAAACAACTGTGCGCAGTTACAAATGGTGCGAAGTGCGAAACATGCATGATTAAACTGTGAATGGTGGCTAGTTCTCAGTAGCATGGGTTTATTAGGCTGATTACAATGAGATCTCATCCATGATGGAGTACTGTTTTAGAACCTTTATTAATCTTTGATACTGGGAAAGAAAACGTTTGGCGAATGACACTGCTTTAGAACATCAGAATCTACATGTGTCACATTGTGCTTTAGTCTTTTTTTTTTTTTTTTAATTTTAGGATGACATGGATTTCTGGCTTTCTCCAACTCCAGAAAAGAAGTCTCAGTCGAAGGTACGGTGAGAAGCATTCTTGGCCGTTTTTTTTTTCCTTTAAAATTGATTAAAATTTCTGTACGTTTAAAAACTGTACTACTTGCCAAATAATTGACTGGCTGATTAAATGATGAAGTGACTTACCGGCTGACTGACTAATTGACAGATTGATTGACTGATATACTGACTGATAAACTAACTGGCTGTCTGACTGACCACGGACTTGCTGATTGACTAACTGACTGACTAATTGATGGATTGATTGACTGATATGCTGACTGTCTGAATGACTGGTTGGCTGATTGACTGACTGGCTTACTCAACGACTTGTTGGCTAATTAACCAGCTAGCTGCTGGCTGGCTGGCTGACTGACAGGTGGACACAGACAGAATGATTAGCTGGCTAACAAATGGACTGAATGACCGATTGGTTAGCTCAGTGACTGGGGACTGACTGACAGGCTAGATGGCTGACTGCTTGTCCAGTGTAATAGCTGACTGTCTGAATGACTGACTGACTGACCGATTGACTGTTTGATTGACTAATTAACTGACTGACCAACCAACTGGCTGCTTGGGTGGCTGACTGGTTTTCTATAATGACTGACTGTTTAAATGACTGACTGATCATCTTTTAGCTGTATGAAGAGATCTGTAGGCTGACAGACAGACAATGATTGAATAACTGACGGAATAATGAATAATCGATTGGTTGATTGATTACCAAGTTGACTGACTAATTCATTTTCTCTCTGAATGAAATAACCAGCTTGTTGAAACACCCACTTCACCTTCGCCAGAAAAATCGCCAAAACAAGAAACACATGCTAAACAATCAGAGGTAATTTTATACAAACAATAAATCGTACTTAAGATGGTAAAATGTCAGTTTGCCAATGAATATGAGAGTGATGCACAAACATTTCTCTCCAAGACGGACACCATACATAAAGCTGAAAAACCTATTCGGAATGAATACAAGTCTGTTTTACTTCTGCAGAACAGTGGAATAATTTTCTCATTGAGCAATCAAACGTTTATTAGAAGCAAATTTACTGTCATGTAGAGCACCTACTTTACCGTTTTGAGGTATTTTTCACTACATAAAGCACTACTTAAGCGTCCGTTTATCGGTTTCAAAAAAGGCCGGTGTCCGTCTTAAACAGGTGTTCGTCCTATAGAGAGTATAGTTACCATTAAATGACTTAAAAATGGCAGGGACCAACACTTGGTCTCCTTGTTATTGAGGTGTCCGTTAAGAGAGAATTGGCTGTAATGTTTATCATGTTTCATAAGCATAAAAATTGTAGAAGTACTGTGGAACCCTGCACTAAGGACACCCGTATGTAACGGACAGTTTCGTTTGACCCGACGGAAAAAAAACTCATATATTTTCTCTATAATTGATCTGCTTAATACGGACAATATGGCATGTCTCGTCGGAGCCGTGTTAACCGGATTCCACTGTAACAGAGTTTCCGATTTCCTTTAGTCACTTAGTATGTAACTTTAATCTTTCTCTAGAAAACTGAATCTAAAGAATCTAAACGCAAACACCGCAAAGATAAATCAGATAAAAAAGAAAAACATGAAAAGGAAAGAAAAAAGGAGAAAAGAAAGAGGCGAAGCAGTGAGAAGTCAGACACAGCAGAGGTGCCTGTAGCTGAACCGGACAAACAGGATGAGCCGTCTATGATGGAGCTTAATGAGGGGAAAAAACAGGTTAGACAAGTTTTTTTTCCTTCTTTCTTTCTATTGTTTTTTGTAATGGAGCTCTGTGTCGTGAAATTTATCAAAATTGAAACAGTGATGACCTCCACTAAACTGAGCGAAACACAAAAATAGCTGCTCAAAACATGACTAGAAGGTATGAATATCATAGCAAATGTAAAAGGGGGCAAAGGTGGAGAAACTTGAAGAAGATTGAAACAGATTGAAATTGTGGTTTTTTGAAAACTTGTGAGCCCAAGTTTTGCAAAGTTCATTTATGTCGTTTGTAACGTTTGATATGATGCATGGGAGACACATTTGTTTGACACGAAGCCCTGATTTTGTCATTCACACGTTATTTATCAAAGTTCCATGGCGAATAAGGAAGTGTAATTGCATTAAAAACAAAATGAGCAAGACAGCCTCTTTAAGCTAAACCACACCAAAGGAGTGTCTTATGAAAAACAAATAGCTTGACCTCACTACTGTGAACTTTTTAGAACTATGTTCCAAAGTTATAAGAAACTGTGCAACGCAATTAATCGTGTGCATGTCAAAGAGTTCTTTGAAATACGCGTTGAAAAAGGAGAAACCCAGACGTTTTGAGGGTGCTTCCTCTTCTTCTTCAGTGGTTTAAAAGCGCATTGTCGAGTCGAGGATAGTAGCGTGGATGTAGATAATAACTTTTCCACGTTGCGTCCCCCTGTACATGTTTAAACTCTGTGTTTATTTCAGCGGGATCCTGTTTCCTTTTTTTATGCCAGACACTCATTGATTTCCTTTCTTTTTCAGCCTATCATTACAACTTATAAAGTTCTCGCAGAAAACAGTGCTCTCAGACTGGTTAGTGTAATGAATTATATTTACGAGAGGGCAACGTGACCGAGCGGTTAGAACGAGGCGGCGAGTTCAAGTCTCACCCTGACCGGGGCTAGCTGGATTTGTTCCCTGTAGACCCGAGTTCAAATCCTTGGTCACGCTTGTTAGTACCAAACTGGTTCGAGGCGAACCAGTTGGGATTCTTATTTTCATTGCAATGGTCACATGTACACCAGCCCTGTTCAAGGCTCCGAGATAGGCGGGTCCGCGAAACTGAGAAAGCGCGAACAAAACGGGTGGAAGGAACAGGCTATGGTAACACTAAAGGATTAAATTAACTGCAAAAACCGTGGACGAAGATCCTGCTAGTTGTAAACGTTGGATCTCTAGAAAAGAGATCTAATCAGCCAAAATAAAAGGACCAAGAACGAGAAGTCCAAAGACCACTGCAAAGCTGATTTAAAACAACGTTTATTGTGTATTATAACAATATTTCGGCTGGCCATACCAGCCTTCTTCAGGTTTACAGATGTTACTGAACACTGGTAACACTATAGGATTTTGTCCAGAAGTTGGGACAACCATGTTTCCGTAACTGACTTAAATACGGTTTAATGATCCCAGATGTGGACGAAATTTTCATTGTTTTCCTTTTACATAAATATATGATGATTGCGAAAGCGAACTGTCATTTTAATCGTGCAGTAAATTTATTTACTTATTGTTTTTCGTCCTTGCTTTAGATGTACGAGACAAGAGTGACCTCCCAAAATAGAAATCAAGTAGTAGTGTCAATTATTTTCAGGTATGTAACTCATGAATGATTGACGTTATAAAAACGTACAATATTTTTTTGATTTCAGTTGTCTATTTGCTAATAGAATTTAAATTTGTTTCAGTATGGTCTCATCGCTATTCTCTGATTTCATTTCACAGTAATTTGACTGATCGTCATATCAAGTCCATGGAATTCAATGTGTTAGACTCCCTCAATACTAAACTAATACGGCCAGTAAGTAGAATTTTACTTTTTGTTAAATTAAATGTTGAGTTTCCTTATACGCTTTATTACGTTTCGATCCAAAGCTATCTTTGTTTTTAGTTAAAGTTCAGTGATCTTGTTACCTTTGCGTCCTGCGTCCCCCTAAAAATCCCCAAAGACGCAAAAGTTCATTGCATGCAGTTGTGTTATAATGTCTCTGACAAAGTTCGAAAAAATGAGTCTTTCCTTTCATTCATTCCATCGATGTATTGATTCATTTGAAAAGTGTTGCCCAAGAAAAGTACTCGTTCATAATTTTAACAAAGATATGACAAGAATTTTTGTGACTGTACGCCCCTTTGAATCGCATCCAGCACCGTCTGATTAACTTGTTTAGCTGTATGTTCTGGTTGGTTTATGATAAAGCCATTCATTTGTTTCTGTTGTCTTGTTCACAGATTGGTTCCTCATCACATGACAGTGTCCCAGTCCCCTTTCATCTTTTGCCAGGTGAGTGGTCACTGAGCCCGTTCCAACCTCGTTCCCAGGGTTCTTTCCTGCTCGTCCCTATAGAGCGAGAAAAGGGACGAGTGATAATGAGTTCTGGGAACGAGGTTGAGCCCGTTCTAGAGATTGATCAGTGCCCATTCCTAATTTTTTAAAGCAATAGTTAGTACAAGTATTAATGGAGCTCGGTCACGGTTGTCTAGTTCATTTTGTTAATAATGCCGTCATTATTCACTATGGAACTTGATAACTTACTAGTGACTGACAAAATCACAGCTTTATGTCAAACAGAGATGGCTCCCAAGTATCATATCAAACGTTGCAAAGAACAAAAATGACCTTTGAAAAACTGTGAGGCCAACGAGTTTTCAAAAAGCGCAATTGCGATACGTTTGAATCTTCAAGCTTGTCCATCTGTTCTTGCCTTTGTATTTACTGTGTTACACCGTCGTTTCATGTTCTGAGCAGGTATTTTTATGTTTCACTCTGTTTTGGTGGCGATTTCCACTAGTCTAATTCAGATAAATTTCGTCACGCAGCTCCTTTAAAATGTGCTTTATTATCTCCACTGAAAGCCCCTTGTGGAAAGAGAATAATCATGTACTTATTTCTTCTTTGTAACCGAAACACTATTTAAAACAGTTGGAATGAAATTCTGTTCTAATTGTCTTGCAGGGTGTTCAAATGAAGGGCAGTTCGCTTTCACTGTAGAAAGCATAGTCATGGCGCAGAAACTCAGGGGAACACTAACTTACGTCATAAAGGTATCTTTTACCAATAGTTCCTTCAGCCCGTCCCATCTCCCAGGGGGACACTAACTACGTCATAAAGGTACCTTTTACCAATACTTCCTTCAGCCCGTCCCATCTCCCAGGGGGACACTAACCTACGTGATAAAGGTACCTTTTACCAATAGTTCCTTTAGCCCCTCCCATCCCCCGGGGGGACACTACCTACTCAGAGGAACACTAACCTACGTCATAAAAGTACCTTTTACCAGTAGTTCCTTCAGCCAATTGCATCTCCCACCCTGTCATGTTGATCATTTTGAACTGGTACTTGATACAGTGTCGGATTGCGTTTTGGGACTGTTATGAGGAACGAACTCTGACCCAGTTTCTTGCGCAGCTTTGTTGTAGCCGGTGAAAGAAGTGCTAGCCAAAGCAGACCCATAGTGCAGTTGGATGCACACAGACCCAGTGTTAATGAAAACAGCCTAGTTATCTTAAAGTCGGATAACACGTTACGATTTGTTCACCCGATTTTATAAAGTAAGCATTCGGTGGACGCAAAAGTCAGCCCTATTTTAGGCCTGTTTTTCTTTTTGGTCTTTCCTTTTATTTAGACTTCGTCCCCATAAATCGAAACGCGCAAAATTCGCCGCAGACAGATCGCATCAGCGAATCACATTATTTAAGCCCTTTATATTCGAACCTTCAGAACCAAAATGTGACGAGTATGACGGGTAGTAACTTAATTGGAGAAAAGAGAGGGGAATTTTATTATTGAGAAGAACTGGACAAGGGTTATTCTCCTGTATTTAATGTAGCTTGATTCGACTTCGCCAGTTAAAAGAGAGAATTTTAGTTTTGAATCAGACTGTATTTGGGAGACCTAAAACGATTCGAAATTTGTTTTTACAAACTTGTCTATCAGATTGTTTCACAAAAACCAAACTGCTGTCTTGTACCATAAAATTCTCCTCATAACTAGTTAAGTTAAGCTATTGATAACCCCAGAGAGGACCTTGTGCCCCCAATGCAATTTTTCTTTCTTTTGCAGGATGACGAAGGCTCCACAAGCGAAAAGATGGATTTTTCGTTGTTTTTACCCTGCTCTTCCTTTCTGATTTCCACGCCGTTGTCAAGGTAAGCCCTGCTAAAACAATGACATTGTAGAGTTTTAACAATCGTTTTTTCCTTTGCTCATCGCTTTGGTTTCATGTTTGGTCGACTCGCATTGTATTATATTGGTCATTTTGATGTTGAGTGGGAGACTGGGTTTGTGCTGTTTCGAATTTCATTATGGGGCTCGTTTGAGGGACATTTTGGCTCAATTACGGTTTCTGGGTAACTGACCACCGACCCCTCCCCTAAGTCCCAATTTTGCCTTAAGTGAGTGGTAAGTGTTAATGTTGACTAAGGGGAGGGGTAGGTAGGCAATTACCCAGAAACCTCCCAACTTGTCTTCTAAAATACTCTCATAAAGCAATTTGACACTACACTGAGCCAGTCTCTAGGGCATATACAAATGTATTTATTTTCTATTTCCTTATTATAATAATTATGTTTTTCTTTTTTTCGGTCTTCAGTACCGATTTCGCCAGTCTCTTAGGAAGTGGAACCTTAGTTAACAAAAGCTCTGTAAAGGTTTGTTATATCTCCTGTTTCTGTAAGCTGTTTCATGCATTCGGTATCTCTATAGTCGTACTTTAAATAAATCAGCCAATCCTGGTGGCAGTGCTTCCATTTTTTTTAATAACAGAGAGATTTAGAGTTACGTTTACCGTAAACGTGAATTTGTACCACGTGGCCAAGTTTTCCCTTAACTGGTACTTGGCTATTCATTACTTCTACCCCAAAATTAGTAGATTGAGATTAGTTTTGTCTATAACAGTTGTTTGGGCCTCTTTTTAAAGCAGAACGTTTTCTATTTGCAGCAGTTCTGAACTTGAACCTAACCTTTGTCGTTTGCCGCAAACTTCACTCTAAATTTCTCAATTATTTCGCGTGGGGAAATAGCCTTTAAGTTAACAAGTAGTCTTGAACCGAGAGGACCCGCCCTTTAGGGGGCTAAGGGATTATGAAAGGTGCCACCTCTTTTTCAAATTAAAGAAAACGTTTTCGCCTCGCCCAAGTTGCTCCACAGCCACATAACGCTAACCACTCTTTTAACAAACGCTGCTGAATCAAAGCCAGCAGTTATCGCCACCTTACAAACGATTTATTGACGAACTCGTGAAAAGCTAACAATAATACATCTATAAACAGCGGGGGCAGCGTGACCGAATGTTTAGAGCGCGATTTGAGCGCTGGGCTTGTAATTCTACATTTCTTCCATAAAACGCGTAAACAGGAAGCTAAAAGAAGTTTCACGATTTAGTCGTGCAAAACAACGGCAAGGAAATGTACGAAAAAGTCTGGTTAATGTGCTGCACGTGCAAAGTTGTTTTTTTTTGCAAATTAGATCTTTTTTTGTTGTTTTTTACCGTTCTCGATTTTATATTTCTTTAAGGAATATATAAATATTAAAGAGAGCTTCGCTTTTAGCCCTGGCTAAATCTATATATTTATTTTTTTCATTATCCTTGAAAAGCCCCACAGAAGGAGAGGATATTTAAAGTAAAAATTAATAAAATAATGAAAAAGTAAGCTTGTGGCGGAGTCAAACACAAAATTTAGTTTAAGCAACTAAGTTTACCACACTTACTGAGGTTCAAAAGCGCGCGCTTCAAGCATCAGAGCAAATCGCTCTTTTTCCTCTTCATCCTCTTCGACTCTAAGTTTGGACGATTTTTTGCTTTATTTGCAGGTCACAGCTCCAGAGACGACAGAGTTTAGCTCAATAATTTCGAAGATTTGTATCCTGCTACATTTTGCAGGTAATGAACACAACTTGTTCTTGCCGGAAATGAACAGCGTCTGCTCAAAATAGTGCTAATATTTTAAGTATTTGTATGGTCATACTGAAGGAAGCCTACGAGCAGGCCTTCCTTTGAGGGAGAACACGAAAAGTCACTCGCAAGCGGCACATGATAGGAGACTCACTCGCGCGTTCTCGCGGAATGTGGGACGCGAGTAAGAAAGTTGCGCGCGAGGAAGGGGAAGAATACGCGTTTCCTCCACCCTCGCGCGTAACGATACTAATAGGAATTTTAATGTTCTGACCGTCTTTCTCTTTCATGGTTGGTTTAGATTCTGCTTTTTCTGTACTTGACCTGTTTCACTCTTCATTCGTTGAACTGTTCGTAACATTTGGCAATGTAACGCATATCTGTTGCGAAATTGCCTTGCAGTAAACATCTTAATTGCGCCTTTCTCTCTCCTGCAATGTGTAAAAAGTGGTTCTCTACTGACAAACTCTTGATCAGATTAACAGGAGACACGCTGTCTAACGGACATCCTGTTTATTGCTGGGTTTTTTTCTTCTTTCTTTGTAAGAAAAAAATCTCCTGTACACTTTAATTATCTACTTCACACGAGACAGCTAGGCTCCTTTTGAGTGCCATACAAGGAGTGAAGTCAGTTTTGATAAACTATCCTCCAAGTTTTAAAGAACAAAACATAAACCTGTTACTACACGCCAAGTTTTTGTCATATTTTAGTTCGCATTTTACTTTTCAGTCAATCAAAGACAGCAACTCCGGCACGTACAGCTATTTTCCACCTCTTATTGTTTAACAGTGCATACAAAGGCTACCAAAACAATGTCCCAACTATTTGTTCACGCTGGCGAAAGCCCGAAGCTGTACACACAAAACAAATCCGGCTTTGTTTTAAGCTACAGTCTCCCAGTGTTAAATTTCCGTTGTTACAAAAAATCAGGGAAGGAAATTCTTTGTTTTTGATTTTATTTCATTACGGATTTTTGACAGTTTCTCGTTCATGCGGATGAAAGGTTTACCAAACGACATCGTGTTTCAGAGAAGAAAGGGATACGCACACTATAGTAGAACAGCTGACCAACATTTGTTTCCGCTAAGCCAAGAAATACCTTGAATATTATTTGAGTGACTAATGCCCTTGAATAGATTTTATACTACTTGTTGACTACTCTGGTTCGGCTGGAATTGCTATTCAGCGTCTTTGGATTTAGTTAATTCAGTTGTTATGTATTGGATTAACTAGACAAACGATCGCAGTATGAGATAGCAACGGTATCGTAGGAATATTGTAGCTCTGTGGAACGAAGTATTTTTATTACTTTTAGGCAGTTCTTAGTGTCAGTAACAAAAAAGCTAATACACAGCTAGTGAAAGTTAACCAAAGACCATATCAATTAGCAACGATTTCCATTTAAAATTGATAGTGTTTTATGGACAATGTCATGCACGACCTCATAATAAACATGATTCCCTATAGTATTCAAAAACACTTTTCTTTAATATGAGATAAACTCGAAAGAAATGACCCGAAGCTTCAAGCTTAGCTGAATCAACGTGAATTAAATTGGTTGTATTTTAGTTTTGCCCGTCTTTTTCTTAAGCGTTTCATGAGTGGTTTACATTCTTAGTCTTTTCGAAAAGTGTTACATTATCAGGAGATTTCATATCTTGGGGTGACTCACAATTTTCCTTTGTAACCGACTATTGATATCAGTAGCAGAAGTTTGGTGGTGACCACTATTCATGGCATAAAAAGTCAAACATAGACCATACTCTCTGTTTTTAACTTGTAAGTTTGAAAATGAAAATCAAAGTCAATATTATGCGTGGAAAAGGAATATTTATCTAAGGAATGATGTCGAAGGACTTAACATAAAAGTGCTACTCTATGACAACGAAATTCCAGAAGAAAAATATTTTTTTTTGTAAAAAGAAAAGGCAAAGGTTTGCACGTGTATTCGATAGCCAAGAGTAGGGTGACTATGTTCTTGACTAAGACTGCGAAAATGTGTTTTCGACTAATAGCCGCAGGCGAATAAGTTGAGAAAAGTCAAACTGCAACTCTTAAGACTGCGTAATTTTTGTTATTTTTATCATTTTTTTTTCCGAGCTATTTTCGATATATTCTCAAAACCTAACCATACTACATTCTTCTTTCGATATTTTACCATCCATTTCTCTTTTTATGGTAAGAAGACTTTTATTTTCGGAAACGATACTTTTATTAGAGATTCAGCGCATGTATCGTGTAAAATCTCAAAAACATCTACCATATAGCCTCGTTGATCAGTCCTGTATCAAGAAATGATAAAGCCAACATACAAGTGTAAATAGTTTATCATCAATTTTACGTAGGGGCTGCCGGTGTCATGTATATCAATTAGCAACGATTCAATTTACATCGCAATAAAGTTGCTACTTTATTCTGACTGATGCTAAACGTTAAGCCTAGTTGGAATTCGCTATTTAAATTGGTGTTGAAAATTCAGTGGTGTGGCCAGTCAAAGAAAAGCTTTTGAGCAGAAGTTTTACATGGTATGAAGGGCGAGTAAATTCGTGGAAGTTATGATACAAAATGTTATATTTGTTACATCAATTCTCGCAGAAGAGATCAAAATGAGGGTATATTATAATAAAGCGTGCTAAGCTAAACACATCACGCAATTAAATATGTTGTCAATATCAGCGGGAAGGCGTTTAACTTATTCACGATTATTTTATACAATTCAAACCCAAAAAGTACACATATACACAATATTGTGTTAGGCTTTGTATTACATAACATAAACTTGGATACAATTCTGAAGTATTCCTTTTTGAAAGGTCTGCTCCAATGATCAAGTAATTATGTAGATGATTCTACAAAGAGTCTTCGCATGTTATTTTCTGCCCAATTTTCATTGTTCTTTGACCTCGCCGCTAAAGGTTGAAGGTTTCGAATAGGACGTGACTACACGTTGAAAAGCTTCCAGTATAAATGGTTATGTTCTTTGATTACCGCTTTGCCCCAACAGGCATTAATTATATTGGACGAGGTTCAATCTTGACTTCTTAAAATAGACATTCTTTATGCAGTATTGTTTATGTGTGTTTACTAGTCACTGTACTGAAATGTTTGTTGGCCTGTGTGTTGATTAATATACCGGGCAAAGGTACAGGGAAGAAAATTCTGATTTCGCTCCTGAAAGCTCTTATATCGTGCTATTTTAGGGGCTGTGGTGATCTCTTCAAGAACCAAAAATGGAAATAAAATACTCGAAAATCAAAACTCACTTATTAAATGATGGCAGCTGGTCATTTTTTCTAATGATGTCCGGTTACTGCTGTGATTGAGTTATTCCAAATTTTAAAACTTGGAAATACTTTTGTTTGATTTGAGACGTAGTAACAATTTCATAAAAAAAGTTTCGCTACTCATTTGTTTTTTCGAAAAATGGTAACCCTGCAATTTTATCCCAACTCAATTAACAACACCGCCGGAAAATCCTTGTAGCTTTCATTATTGGGATTGCCATTATATGATAAAAATTTCATAGAGGTTGTGTTGAATTTGTAAGCATTTTTTATGTACGAAGACCGATCTTCAGTAAATTAAGCACCACTTTCTGAGATAGGGCCCACTCAGTTTGTAGTTTACTCTGTCCAAAGATTATTTATATTTTCTTTGGCGGAATTTTGCGGNTTTTTTCTAATGATGTCCGGTTACTGCTGTGATTGAGTTATTCCAAATTTTAAAACTTGGAAATACTTTTGTTTGATTTGAGACGTAGTAACAATTTCATAAAAAAAGTTTCGCTACTCATTTGTTTTTTCGAAAAATGGTAACCCTGCAATTTTATCCCAACTCAATTAACAACACCGCCGGAAAATCCTTGTAGCTTTCATTATTGGGATTGCCATTATATGATAAAAATTTCATAGAGGTTGTGTTGAATTTGTAAGCATTTTTTATGTACGAAGACCGATCTTCAGTAAATTAAGCACCACTTTCTGAGATAGGGCCCACTCAGTTTGTAGTTTACTCTGTCCAAAGATTATTTATATTTTCTTTGGCGGAATTTTGCGGGTGCGCTTGGCTAGCGGTCATTAAATCTCCTGCGGCTTTTATTTTCATTCGCGCGCTCGACACGACGATCCCTAAAGAGAAAGTAGAAAGACTGTGAACAGGGCATTTGTACGATGGTGTGTCTAATATCACTAGTTCTCTTTTCGGTTGGGAGGGGAGGGTGGGGGTACTGGGGTCATTAGGATTCGTTCCGTTTGTAATGCACAAGTTTAGAGAAGACAGGGAAGGTGTGGCGAGGCGCTTCAAGGGGAGACAGACCAATGGTAAATTATGTAAGGGAGCTCAAGCTACCACGGCAGCGGTGTATAGCAACAAAGGATTACTTGTTAAATGAATTCACGATCTTGCAAACTTCATCTCGATGCTCCTAACTCGCTTCCTCTGTTTAATGTGGGAGAAGTTTACTGCGCTTGCAGAGTTGTCTTGCTTTTAAACCTGATCTCCATATATTTCTTAAAGAATTGACAAGAGATCAAAGCATTTCCCTTCCCCTTGGCGATCATTTCTTCAATTCTCCTAACCATTTCTCTTTTTGTTGTTAATCGACAATGTTGCGAGAAAATTGATGTAGATTACTCCTAGGACTTAGAGGGTTATACTCCCCAATGTAACTCGTCTGCGGCTCTCGCTGGCTTAAAATATTCAAATGTATGTAGCTTTCAAAATTTTTGGCAGGCTTCAGATGTGTTGTACTTCTTATTCCAGAATACTGCCAATAGGAAAGAACCCTAACTGTCAGGTCAATTCGACTCGATTGTTCCTAATGAATCGTGTTTTTGCACTTTACTTTCAGTCGTAGAACAAGTGGATTCAAGTGCATCATTATATGCCAGTTCAATCCAAAACCATCATCTGTGTTTATTAGTCAAGCAATTACCGGTGAGTAACGAGCCTGAAAATCTTTGTAAGCATTTTTTATGTACGAAGACCGATCTTCAGTAAATTAAGCACCACTTTCTGAGATAGGGCCCACTCAGTTTGTAGTTTACTCTGTCCAAAGATTATTTATATTTTCTTTGGCGGAATTTTGCGGTTGCGCTTGGCTAGCGGTCATTAAATCTCCTGCGGCTTTTATTTTCATTCGCGCGCTCGACACGACGATCCCTAAAGAGAAAGTAGAAAGTCTGTGAACAGGGCATTTGCACGATGGTGTGTCTAATATCACTAGTTCTCTTTTCGGTTGGGGGGGGAGGGTGGGGGTACTGGGGTCATTAGGATTCGTTCCGTTTGTAATGCACAAGTTTAGAGAAGACAGGGAAGGTGTGGCGAGGCGCTTCGGGGAAGACAGACTAATGGTAAATTATGCTAGGGAGCTTAAGCTACCACGACAGCGATGTATAGCAACAAAGGATTACTTGTTAAATGGATTCACCATCTTGCAAACGTCATCTCGATGCTCCTAACTCGCTTCCTCTGTTTAATGTGGGAGAAGTTTACTGCGCTTGCAGAGTTGTCCTGCTTATTAAACCTGATCTCCATATATTTCTTAAGGAATTCGTGAAGAGAATTTGACAAGAGATCAGAGTATTTCCCCACCCCATTATTTCTTCAATTCTCCTAACCATTTCTCTTTTATTGTTAACCGACAATGTTGCGAGAAAATTGATGTAGATTACTCTTAGGACTTAGAGGGTTATACTCCGTAATAAAACTCGTCTGCGGCTCTCGCTGGCTTAAAATATTCGAATGTATGTAGCTTTCAAAATTTTTGGCAGTCTTCAGATGTGTTGTACTTCTTATTCCAGAATACTGACAATAGGAAAGAACCCTAACTGTCAGGTCAATTCGACTCGATTGTTCCTCATGAATCGTGCTTTTGCACTTTTCTTTCAGTCGTAGAACAAGTGGATTCAAGTGCATCATTATATGCCAGTTCAATCCAAAACCATCATCTGTGTTTATTAGTCAAGCAATTACCGGTGAGTAACGAGCCTGAAAATCATAGAAACGGGTTGCCGGATGCAGGGCACCTAGCTCAGGATAAATCTAGGACAAACTTCTTCTGTACGTCAGGCTATAAGACGGACACCTAGGATTTGTCCCTCCGATTCTGACAGTCATTTTCTTTGGCTGAGGCGGACTTACCTTGGCAAAACGGACTGTCTGCCCCAAACTGAGTTGACTGAAATGTAGCTTAAGAAATAAGGTTTATCTTTGTACTTCTCGCTGATGAATGTTAGTAAACAAGCAGTGTTTTCTTTTTTAATGCTTTGTACTTTTTTCTTTTTTCTCTTTTGTTTCTTTTTTTGTTTTTGTTTTTGTTATTGTGTAGCGAAATGTCGGCTGAGTAAGGGAATGGCACGGTGTGTTATAACATTGTAAAGTGACAAAAAATATTGACGATGGTGTTTTCCTTTACATAGGATAACTCGGTGTCTGTTGACGGCAAAAGTACTGACGCTTCCATGGTTTCCAATGTACTGGACGAAATTAAATTACTCCTTCAAACGCCATGAAAAAAGAAATAATCAAGAATGGCAGATTACAAGTCGATAAAGAAGAGGGATGGTCTTGGCGCGAAAGGAATTCTCATCAACGGGGTTCTTCGAAACAAAAACAGCCGAGAATCGCCCATGAACCAACTTCACTGCCAGCGAAAGATTAATTGAAAAGGATTTTAATAGAGATAAGAAATACGGGGCAAACTTGTCTGATTCTATACTGAATTATTAAGGGCCCTGTCCTCAGATCGCTGGATCTGGGTGTTGTGTTGCAAATTGCTCTTCAGTAAGTCGTAGAGTTAAATAGAAAGGAAAGCAGTGTGTCTCGTAAGCCTTTCAAACAATTGCATTATCTGGGGAGAAGAGGAAAGAGATATAGACACTTTCACTGCCCCGAAAATCAACATTTTATGAATAAAAACCAAGAAATACACCCAACGTAGTCCCAGGGTCTCTCTTCTAGTGTTTCCGCGAGAGAAGAGATGTCCTGGGAGCAAGCGTATAATTAAAATGCTCTCCAATTTTAGTTTTGCAAATGTCCTAAGATATTGTCACAGGAAAAGAGACTTGGTACCGTCCATGTGAGTAATTTCATCTTAGTACATATTCTAATAACGGCGAAAAAAATGATAAAAAAAGATGGTTTTACTCGGTCGCTGCCTTTGGTTGAGTAGACCAGCTGACGAGTTTTGTTTTAGGTACAGATTTAACTGTCAAAATCTATTTGCCTTGTGCAGGAGAGTAAACGTAATTTTAGGAAAGAATAATGCTATAGCATTCTGTAATGCGTCACGGTGTTGTCCACCACTGTAGTCTATACCGAATAGCTTTTTCGCCGCACGATTTCTGTAACGGATGGAAGCTGCACTTCTCCGATGTTGAGAGTGGACCGTCACACATCAGATGAGTGCTGTGCCACACTTTGGTGTAATGTGAACAAGTATTCGGACCGTAGCGGAAGTGAATAAGCAGGATCCACTGACACGGAAGTAAAAATTCAAGAATGAGGACTGGATTTAAGTTCACCAAACGGCCCTCTCGACCAAACTCTGCGGCACGATGTTCGTTTTCCACGCACGGACCAAACTCTGCGGCACGATGTTCGTTTTCCACGCACGGAATCCCATGTAGAGTGGGGTGTGGTTCATTCTTCTAGGTAGAAATTGTTGGGTTCTGCTCTATATCCATCTAAACAAAACGGCAACATAATTCGAACTCGTGAACATCTTTTGCAAGAACTTCTTAATGTAAAGCCCGCGCAGAATACTTAAAATAATCTAAAAAAAGCCAACGGCAATATACAAAAATACTGCGGGTTTTAATTTTACCTCACATTAGGCTGAACTTTGAGAAGTGCCAGCTATGCTTATAGACTCTTTTTTTTTTGGGCATTATACAAAAATTTAGCATTGTTTTTGCGAATTCTTAATGTTGGTCATAATTGTAAATTAAAAGATGATGGTGTTTCCATATCAGTGTTCTCCACTCATCCCTAGTTTACGTAATACGATAAGTGTGCAAAGATTGGCCTACCTTTAACTGGCGCTCATTAGCTTCCCCACAAAAACGCCCCTTCCCCCCTCCTTCCTAGAGTAATAGGCCAAGCGCGCTCGGATATAAGCCCCCCTCTCCCCACTCCCTCAAATGCATTGAAATGAATTTTGTTTATCATGACGTGTTGAAGCTTAATAACAAAACCCAAAACATATTTTGATCAGCATTGTTATGGGTTGTTTAGAAGCGCTTTTTCTATTTCAGTTATAAGCTTTCCTTGGCTATTAGCCCCTCCTTTTAAATCCCTTACGAAGATATATAATTCCAGGGTTAATAGACGGCAGTTTGCGATCTTATTAATCGAGCTACCTCGAAATATCAAAACGGCTTGTTTACTACTCAAGCATTTGCACTTAGTTAATAAAGTCAGTTTTGGTTTAAAAATTGCCGAACTAAAGAAAATAAAATCAATTTAAGTCTTGTCAACTACTAATAAAAAAGAGTTTTTCTGGATTGAGTTTCGTTGCTTAGACAACTGAGCAAGCTCCGTCATTTTTGCCTGCATCACACTTGAATGCGTTGAATATTACAGCGGCCTGGTTGCTCAGAAATTGTAAAGCTTGTCCTCGGTTCTGGTGGAGTTAAACCGGCGAATTAAAGTAAGGGAACGGTAATGCTTGCATGTCGACCGTAAATTTTTAACAAGCAAAGAAGAAATTATGATCCATACGTTTTTGTTACATTGACGAAAGATGAGCAGTGAGCAAGCCCTCGATTCTTTCGAACCCTCCAGCAGATTTTCCCTTAGCTTGAAAGAAGAACGGCGAGCTTGCATACAAATTTTTCCGTAAGTAACGAGAAAGTGACTGCGACACTAACTGAATGCGAGCTAATTATTGTCGAGAAACAAACTGACCTGCTACGTTTGCCGCCTAAAGACTTAAACCTGTAAATTTGAGGCTATACTTTCAAAAATGTCATTCGTCCGATTTAATATGGCGCGGACCTCTCGCGACTTCGTCGCCCGCTTGGCCGCTCCATTCGCCAAGAAACTCGTGAGGTCAACGTGTAGCAAGTCTACCCAAGCTCTCTGGATGGGTGCTGAAAGTCACGAAAATGAACGGTGTGTAAGGGAGATTCTAGCTCTTGTTCCATTCCCCTAGCCAAGCCCCAGCTAACATCGATGCCCCTGAAGTTTTATTTATACATGTGCACGGAGGCCAACTTATTCAGGCAAACATGAAAACCTTAGTTTAGAAAAATCCTAAACTGGCTGAAAGATAACGCTATATAGACCATTTGCGGTCCTTTATTGGTTTGGGGCGAGGGGTTGTGGCGAAAGATTACATCCTTTTAGCCTCGTGCGCACGGCGTCCACGCGCTTGCTTTCCCAAATCATCTTTGCTTCAAGGTGGCGACTGAAAACCTGAAAGGCTTAGCGCGCGGCGCTATCTGAAAAATACATCTGCAATCCAGACTACATGGCCGGAAATTAAAGATCGGATCACCGCATGTCTTTGAAATACAAATCAGGGGCAATGGCTGAATGGTGGTAATTTTCATTGAAATAAAAGATGTTTGGCCGAAAGGAAACTCCATTAGCCTATGTCTTTCTGCCATTGGCTTGTTTTCAGTGTGTTTTGAGTTTGACGTATGAAAGGCTGGCTAGTTTTGTTGCATGGTTCGTTCAAATTGGAGTGATTTTAAAAGTGAACAATCTTTTCTAAGTCGCTAAAATACCACCTTTGTTTCCAGACTAGTGAATAATCCGCTTGACGTCATAACTCTCCATACAACTTTTCTAGACGGAGCGGATATTATCTTTTTTGGATATGAAAGCAAAAAAGAACATCACATTACACGCACTCGGAGCAAAAGTTTAAAATAAAACCAAATGTTGCCCCCAAATTGTATGTATTTACGTGCAGGATGTGTCATAACGTGCCGGGAAAACGACGGTTTGACGTCATTCTCGATTCAGTGCAAACCCCTGTAAATAGCGAGAAGACCGAGAGTAAGATGTAGCTCAAATCTTGCTTTTAACAGATTTTTGTTTTGCGAGAAAAATCCAGAGACGTTTAAGCTTACTTTCCTACATCTGTTTGCCCTGAAGATAAGGCAAAAATGCATTGAACACAAAACTGCGTGCAAATATACCTCAGGCCGAGTAGATGTTTAAAAAACCACGTGATTTAAAAAGAACTTATTCATTTCAATCAATATTCCAATTGACCAAAATTTCACTCCTAAAGCGCTTAACCAAGGTAATAAATTCTTAATGTACTTGGCCATTGTTCTGCAATAGGCATGACCACACGAAAGCAATCCTAGATGTCTTAAGGTCATGAAATAAGCCTTACAAATAACCTTTTGAATGAGACATGGAGGTGCAGTGTATTGATATGTTTTTGTTGACCCGGCCAAATGAAATTAAAACCATAGGCTTTGCTTCGTGTATTTCCTGGCATGAAAACTGTTTACCAAGGAATACGAAAAAGAAAACTAACACCCTGTTTTTATTACATTAAAAGGAAAGAAGATATTTTCCCTAGTATAGAGGTTTTCGTGAGGGCATTACAATCTTCCGTGCAGAATCGATCAAAACAAACGCTTTGTTTGACAGATCTGGAACAATTTTTTGCTTTAAGATGTCCGGGCGTTAATCGCTTTGTTTAATTTAAGAAACAAATCTCTTATTTTTTTTTCCCGCTTTAGAGACGAGTTGATTTCTATTCAGTTTTTTTTATTAAATCGCATTTTTGGTCAAACTATCCTTTGAAAAAAGAAAGCGTGCTTAAGATAGTATTCAACGTTATCAAGGAATTCAAACACTGTTTGAAGAGCGTGTTAAGAGAAAAAGCAATTAATTAAAAGTCACGTTTTTAAAAATACCAACTGTATCTTTAAAAAGAGCCAGGCAAACAAATCAGTTTTTGATTTCAAGTACAGTAGTTTTAGAGGCACACTTTTTTGATAAACCATGCATTCAGTTATTTAAGTAAATTTTGGTCCCTCGAAAACACTGACTGGCAACTTTAAATAAGAATAAAAAACAAAGAGACCAATTGGTCTGTTTTCTGTCTCCTCTTATTGGATAGAAAGTCTCTTAAATTTCAGGAATGGAAGAACTTATTGTTCCTTTCGCTGAAGGTGTTACAACTAACCTAACCATGTCACATGACTCAATCCTAACCTAAACATTTTCACTTAATGAGGTTTGGCATTTGCACGTAACTTTTGGTGAGCAGTGAATCCCTTTCAGGTATCATGGATGCCATATGTTCAACATCCCGCATAAATAACCAGGTAGGAAGTTTTTATTTTTTTGGTAGTGAATATCAGCCTCTATGTTTCTTGATCACGAACCGTTCAGCTGACCGGCGTTCTAAACAATCGAGTGAGGGCACCGAAATCCAATATTCCGAGCGATGATCAGCTATTCCATCGTATGCTAAAACTAAAAAAATAAAATAAAAAATTTCGGCATCACAGATCAAACTGCTGCTGAAAATTCTCGTCTACTCAGTATGAGCTGAGAAAATTGGAAAAATTTAACGTTTTATTCAGATAAAAAAGCGCATCTTGTTATACCAACAAAAGGAACTGTCGTTATTCAAATCATGTTGCAATGTGGTGGATAGTCACACTTATGAATAACGGCTATAATTTATCATTGAATTAGAACCACCTAATCCTCTTTTCTGGCTAAGCAATACTGGAAGCCGCAGCCTAAAATCCTTACGTTACTACGGTTGAAAATTAAGAGGTTTTGTCCATAACGCCTCGAAAATGACAGCTTACCGGTGACAATTTGTCACAAAAGTCAGAGCAAATCGACTGACTGTTCCTGTCGTTTCAACAGCCACTAATAAAGTCTAACTTTACAGAAGTAACAGTGTAATCGTCAACTTATAATTCAGTTTGACTTTCATTAAATTTCATGACCATTCAATCCATACTTGAAACATAAAAAGCTCTGTAACGACCGCTTTATAAATGCAGCCAAGTGTAATAGAGTGCTTGCAGTTAATTACACTCATCTCTTGGTACACTGACATTTTGTGGGACAGAACTCAGTGAGAACTCTTAAAACAAACGGTCAAACATTTGTTGTTTAATCAAAAATAAAACTTGTACGAATTCAGTGATTTCTAATAAACTCCATTTATTCATACAACACACGTTCCACAACGCAATGGCACGATCAGTGTTGTTCAGCATGGTTGTTGTACATAAAACTAAGTAGAAAAACATGATGAAACACACCTCGAAGAACCCTTCCTGTTTGTATAAAAGAACAACGTTTACATATGTTAATTTATGACCATTTAGCTTAAAGAGAATGAACTCACTGTTTTCCTTAATATATTCGTCTTTTTACTGCGCTATAAAATTCCGGCAATATTGTTAAGACTCACTGTTAACCGAATCGGAACTCCTGAGTCTGGTAATTCAAACCATCTATTTGCTTATTCAAGCATCAATATCATCATAAACAACAAGAATGAACCAACTTTAGACCTGCAAAGATTTTGACGACTTTAATTGATCTACCAGAATTGCTTGTAGTCCGCGAACGGTTTGAAAACCCATTGGCCAGCACATGTTTCGTAACAACGCCCCCGCGCGCGGTTGCATACGGTCACCAGACTCAACGAAACATGATGTTTCGCACGAAAGATACAATTGTAGCTTCAAAACGTGACTTGAGGTCGTAGGAAAAAGCAAAATGCGGTTAAACAAATTGAGGCTATTAGTTATATTAACGCTGCTGCAATCTTTTTGGGGGCTCACGTACAACTTGACATTTTCGTTTGTTGGATCAGCCCAACCTTAAACTGTCCTTTCTGCCAGGAGAGCACGTAACTTTCATGATTAAAATGAAATTGTTAAAGTACAGGAGAATTTTATATCTTTCTGTCCGTAAAGTCACTTTAAAAACATTCTAACAGTTTTTAGACTACTTCATCATATCGTGCTTTTAAAAATATTGGTCTGCCTCAAGTCATTTCCCTTAATTATGTGGACTCATTTAATTTCATTTAATGTTTATTTTTATGTATCTAGTATGT